GGGGATCTCTGATATCAGGACTGATAGCAGAAACGGTAATGCAAAGATTAGAAATGACAGCGCTTCCCCACTATCCCAAACTCTGGGTCCGATTATGTAGATGACACCTTCGGTGATTATCAAATGCACAAGAAGAAACCCACCAACACCTAAACAATATCTTCACTGAAATAAAATTCACAAAAGAGAACAATAACTAACTACCCTTCCTAGATGTAATGGTGGAACGCAAGAACAACGGGGAACTCCAGACCTGTGTACATAGAAAGACCATCCAGATGGACGAGATGCTCAATTACACCAAGTCCAAACAGCTCCATCAGCAAGGACAACATACTCAGACTACTGAAGCTATGCCTCACCACATAACTGCCAAATATACAAACAAATCACTGGCACACCGATGGGGTCACCCATCTCAGGACTTACTGCAGAGGCAGTCATGCAAAGACTGGAACACACTACCCTCCTCCTCATACAGCCAAAACTGTGGATCCGATACACGTTTGTCATCATTAAATGCACCAAGTTAGAAGAGACACACCATCTCATCAACAATGTTTTCACTGGGATCAAATTTACGAGAGAAGAGGAAGACAACGATCAACTTCTGTTTCTGGACTTCAGGGTAGAACAAATGACCAATGAGGAGTTCCAAACCACATAGTATATAGGAAGGCAGCCCACACTGACCAATTCACAATTTCCACAGCAATCACCTCAATGTCCACAAACAAACCTGTGTTAGGACACTATTCAAAAGGACCTCAACTCATGCCAGAATTACGCAGGAAGGAGGAACAGCACCTATACAAGATCTTTGCGAACGACAGATATCCCAACAACTTCATCTGCAGGTGCCTACTGGATAGACAATGCCAAGAGGACACAGTCTTCCCCAAGACACTGGCCACACTACCCTATATCAAGAACATCTCAGAACTGATGACAAGACTCCTATGACCACTACGAATCATGGGAGCACACAAACTCACAGCCACACTGCGATAAACACTCACAAGGACCAAAGACGCTGTATCCATGACATGCAGAACCAAGGTAGTTTACAAAATACCTCGCAATGACTGCAACAAACATTACATCAGCCAGACCAGAAGGAAACTAGCCATCAGGATACACGAACACCAGCTAGCAGCAAAACAACACGACGAACTTTCCCTCACCAGAGTGCACTCAGACAACGGAGGCCATCAATTTAACTGGGACAACGTGACCATACTAGCTCAAGCCAACCACAGACAAGTGCGGAATTTCTAGAGGCCTAGTTTTCAACCCGTAATGCAATCAACAAACATGTGGAATTAGACCTCATGTACAAACCCATGCAGAACAGAGCTGGAAATGACACAACCCAACTTAACAAAGCAGACCATATAAATACCAAGCGGAGTAGAACAATGTCACTTCATTGGAGTCTGCACTGATGATGGGTACCTAGCATGGTGACAAAAGGCCTGTACGATAACCATCCAGCTCGGCGAGTAAGCCAACAAACCTCATTCACAACCTGAGCTACAAATCTTCACAAGAACCTTAAACTCAATTACACCAGCAACCACCCAACACCCATAAATGGAGCTGCATCAGGACATTATTCAAACGCGTCACAACACACTGCAGCAACCCGGAACTACGCAAAGCAGAACAAGAACACTTATACAGAGTTTTTAAAAGGAATGGATACCCAAAAAGCACAATCCGCCGTTACCTCTGCAACAGACCACGAGAAGAAGGCACAACATGGCCAGACACACTAGCCACCCTACCACACATCAGGGACATATCAGAGATGACCACAAGACTACGTGGACTCCTAGGTATCAGGGTAGCCCACAAACCAACAGCCATCCTATGACAGCTACTGACAAATGTAAAGGATCCCATACCCACAACCAACAAATCCAACATAATATATAAAATGACATACAAGGACTGAGAAAGATTACATAAGCCAAACCAGAAGAAAACCGGCAATAAGGATACATGAACACCAACTAGCCACCAAGAGACATGACTAGTTCTCACTGGTCTCAGTGCATACGGACAAAGAAGGACATGAATTCGACTGGGACAACGCATCCATAACAGCACAAGCCAAACACAGACATGCCAGGAAATTCCTGGAGGTGTTGCATTCCAACCAGAATTCCATCAACAAACACATTGAATTGGACCCCATATACAAACCACTGAAAAATAAAACTGGAAGTGATGCTAACCACCCCAGCATACTGAAACATATAAATAACAAGTGGAACAGAACACCGAAGCTTCACCAGAGGTGCTTTGATGATGTTACCTAGCAGGGTGACGAAACATCTGCAATCAAACACACCGGCTCAGCAAGCAAGTCTGCAACTGTAACCAGTTTTTATAAAGATTCAACAGAACTGTATTCACTTTGTACTAAGCTGAAGATAATTTAATGTTAACGCCTACTTTCCTCAGAGCCAAAAACTATCAACCTTTTAATAATCTCTTTTTTTTAAATCCAATTTTGTCTGACCCAATTTACCTACTTCATTTTTAGTGGCATAGAGTACAATAATATGCTGAAATGTACGAGACACGAGTTAGACATCAGCTGGGATGTTATGCACAGATTGAGCATCACTCTTTAGGAAGGATGTAAATGCATTGGTGAAGGTGTAGAATATGTTTGCAAGAATGGTTCAGCGATGAGAAAGTTAAAATCTGAAGATTGATGACGTTTGGATTGTTTTCCTTGGAGAGGAGAGAGCTAAGAGGGGATATGCTTGTACAATTGAAGTTTTCAATATCATGAGAGGGTATAGTAATTGTTTACACTTACAAATGGGTCAAGATAAAGATGGCACAGATGTAGACTGATTTGCTGAAACTGGAAGAAGTAAATATGATGTAAGAAACTTCACACAGCGAGTGGTTCAATCTGGAAAGCACTGCCTGGTAACGTGGAGGCAGGTTCAATTGATGCATTAAAGAGGTTTATTTAAAAGTGCAGGGTTACAGGGAAAAGGCACAAAGTCATAATAATCACTCAGAGTTGGTGCATGCACAACGAGAGTAAGCTTATTTAAGAGTATTTGATACCAAGTTTGAAGCAGGAATGTAGGAGAGTAGTTACTGAAGAATTGATGTTTGAGAGTGCAGAGAACTGAAGATGAAAAGAGGGAGGCATGATGACAGGAGAGGTAAAGAGCAAAAGGAAAGTAAGAACAAATAGGAGTAATGATCTCGGGTCTGGGAGTAGCAGCCAAAATATAAAAATTAATGTACGGGTGGAATACTATGTTTGGTTGCTATTGATTATGTTGGGACAAGCTAATGCTTTGAAGGCACGGCAACCTGACTGGAGACATCACAAGGAGGAATATAAAACTAGATATAAAATCAGAGATTTGGTAAAGTTGATGTAGGTTGATTGAAAATAGTGATAAACTGATGATCTGATGCTGAGTTGGGTGAGAGACCTGTGAACTACAGAACATTGGGGTGCATATTTCCAAAAAGTTAATTGTATTGTCTGGCTGTGTTGAAACATCATAAGCTGAGGCCATTCAGCCACCTCAAGCTCGCTCCACTATTTAATAAGAGCTTCATTAAGCTGTCTTTAGCCTAAACTCCAATTTCCTGCCTTCCATCCGTGACCCTAGATTGGATCAAAAATCTTTCTAACTCAGTCTTGCAAATATTCAATGATCCAGTCTCCACTACTCCCTGGATATAAGAATTCCAAGGCTAACGACCGTTTGAAAGAATAAATTTATCCTTGTTGAATATTTCCCGCTGTCAATTTACAGCCAAATAATAATCTGCTTTCCTATTCATGCAACCAAAGTGGATAATCTCACACTTATCCACATTAAAATACATCCGCCATGCATTTGCCCACTCACTCAGCCTGCCCAGATCACATTGCAACATTGCTGCATCCTCCTCACAGCTCACCCTTCCACACAGCTTTGTATCATCTGCAAATTTTGAGAAATTACATTCAGTTCCCTCATCTAAATAATTAAACAAATATAGTGAATTTTATGGGACTTTGTCAAAAGCCTTTTGAAAGTCCAAATATGCCACATTTACTGGCTCCCCTGATCAACTCTACCCATTACATCCTCAAAGAATTTCAGTAGATTTGTCAAGCATGATTTCTCTTTCATAAATCCATGCTGTGTCTAATTCTACCACTGTTTTCTAAGTGCTCTAAAATGCTTGACAATGGACTCTAGCTTAATCTTGAACAAAAACAAAGTTGCTGGAAAAGCTCAGCAGGTCTGGCAACATCTGTGAAGGAGAAAACAGAGTTAACGTTTCAGATCCGGTGACCCTTCCTCAGAACATTCTCAGTTCAGAGCTTTTCCAGCAACTTTGTTTTTGTTCCTGATTTACAGCATCTGCAGTTCTTTTGGATTTTATCTAGCTTAATCTTCTCCTCTACCTACGTCAGACTCACTGGTCAATAACTCAATTTTCTCTCTGCCTGCCTCCCTTTTTAAGTAGTGGGGTTACATTAGTTACCCTCCAGTCTGTAGGAACCATTCCAGAGTCTAAAGAATCTTGAAAGATAACCAGCAATGCATACACTATTTCTAGGGCCATTTCCTCAAGTAATCTAGGGTGTAGATTATCAGACCCTGAGAATTTATTGGTCTTCAACTCTATCAATTTCCCTATCATAATTTCTCTACTAAAATAGATTTGTTTCAGTTTCTCCATCTCCCTGCATTCCCCATCATTTCTGGTATGGTATTCATGTACTCCTTTGTGAAGACAGAAGTATGAATTTAGTTCATCTGCCATTATAAATTCCCCGTTTCCAACTGTAAGAGACCCACATTCATTTTCACCAATCTTTTCTCTTTACATACTCAAGGAAAAAAGACACCAAACAGTTTAATATATTAGTAAATATATATATTTAAGCATATCAGTTCAGTTTGATTAGCTGAGCCAAAATCATTTTGACACAGATTTGCAAATTATCTTTCATCAAATGTTTGTAGGTATCTCAACTCCAGCAATATCTGAAGCAAATTCTTATTTTAATCTGAAACGTGGTCTGCATTCTCAGTACGATTCATCTCCATTTATATAGAATTATACTACTCAGTGCAACAGCAGAAATTCCTATTGTCCACTTCCAATTTATATTCTGTGAAAAGAAAAATCAGTAGAATTAGAACATGAATATTAATAACTGTGCAACAATAATAATGAGCTCAGAAGACACAATGACCCCATTCACACATCACCAGTTTAGTAAATATAGCCGAGTTTGGAGTGATTCATTAAGGCAAATACGCTGGATGTAGAAAGAGCACAGAGAGAGGTGGAAGCAAGAGGATCATCACAGAACCACTACAGTGTGCAAACAGGCCATTTGGCCCATCAAGTCCACACCAGCCCTCTGAAGAATATTCCACCCAGACGTTCCAACCCCTACCCTATCTCCCTAACCTCACATTTCCCCATGGTTAATCCATCCAGCCTGCACATCCCTGAAACCTATAGGCAATTAATCATGATCAATCCACGTAACCTGCACATCCTTGGACTTTGGGAGGAAAGTCACGCAGACACTGGGAGAATGTGCAAACTCCACACAAACAGTTGCCTGAGGCTGGAATCGAACGCAGATCCCTGGTCCTGCGATGCAGCAGTGCTAACCACTGAGCCACAAGTGGCAGTAACATTTTTACCAACACTGAAGTTAAACTGACTAGTCTGATCTTTACAGCATTTTTTGAATAAGTGCATAATGTTTGTAATTCATCAATCCTCTGGCACCAACTCTAAATCAATGGAAGATTGAAAGATAATTGCCAGTGCTTCTGCAATTTCCACTCTCACTTCCTTCAATATTCTTGGATGCATCTCATACAGTTTCTGTGCCTTATCAACTTTAATTACAGACAGTTTATCCAATACCACCTTATTAATTTTGAACACTTTTCATGCCTGAGTTTCCTTCTCTGTCACCATGGTCTGGCAGCATTTGCTTCATAGGTAAAGACAGATGTAAAGTATTAATTTAAAATCTTTGTCATGCCTCTTGCCTATATGTCTAAATCCCATTCATAATCAGATTTACCTCTCCTTTTACAATTGATATGCTTACAGAATACTTTGGGATTTCCTTTTCTGTTAGCTGCCATTTTTTTTTATAATCCCTTTTTGCTTCTTCACCTCAGTTCTGGATTTCCTGTATTTGGCTAGGTTCTCAACTAAATTACAACATGATTCCTGTCATAAATACCTTTTTTCCTTCTTGACTTAATTTCTATCTCCTATGTCATCCAGGGAGCTCTAGATTTGATTGCCCTACCTCTGCTTTTTGAGGGAGTGCATCTTTCATTGTGCATAAACTATCTCCTCTTTAAAGGGAACCCATTGTTCAGATACTGCTTTTTCTGTCAAACTTTGATTCCAGTCTGTGGCCCAGAACTATTCTTGCCCCATTGAAGTCTGCATACCATCAAAAGATTATTCTTACTCTAGATTAACCAATGTCATTTTAACTCTCATCCTAAAATTATGACGCACAGTCCCCTGTAAGTTCCCCTTCTGTCACTTGATCAAACAAGAACCAGGACTACTTTCTTGTTGGACTGGACACACTCCGTAAGGAAATTCTCCTGAACATAACCTAGAAATGCTCGATCTTTACTGCCCCTTCGACTACCACCATCCCAGCTATCAAGTGTAATCAAAGCCGCTCATCACAATACTCTAGCATGTAACTTGATTGTGTTTTTTGAGGAAATACTAGGAGGATTAACGAACACAGAATGATTGCTGTAGTCTTTATGGATTTTAACAAGGCTTTTGACAAGTCCTGCATAGCAGACTGGTTAAAAATAAAAGGCCATGGGACCAGGGGTGTGCAACAAAGTGTGGATACAGAATTGGTTCAGTGGCAGAAAACAAAGGGTAATTTTTGACGGGTGTTCTTAGAACTGAAAGGCAGTTTCCAATGGGGTTTTCAGGGGCACTCTCTTTTCATTTTTTAACTTAATTTCTATCTCCTTTGTTATCCAGGGAACTCTGGATTTGATTACCCTACCTCTCCCTTTTGAGATGATACATCCTTGATTATGCCTAATCCTCTATGAAGGCAACCTTTAGCGACTGCTTTTCCTGCCAGGCTCTGCAAAACTTCCTGCCAAACTGCAGTACTAATTCCTGCTTTGTGTCAAATGTATTAATGATAAATGTAGGAGAAATGAAGAAGAAATTTGCAAACCTCTTTTGTTTGATAGAGAGGAAGGTAGCTGTAGTCTACAGAACAATATCAATGGACTAGTCAAATGGAAGACAACTGGTGAATGGAATTCAATTCAGAGAAGTGCAAAGGGTGATGCATTTAGGGAAGTCACTAAGACAAAGGAATACCATTAATTAGAGAATACTGAGAGGTATATAGCAAGCAAGACCAGATGTCCACAGATCCCCAAATGCAATAGGGCAGGTCAACAAGGTGGCTAAAATGGCATATGGATTCCTTTCCTTTGTTGGCTGAAAGTTTAAAATATAAGATGAGGAAGCTTGTGATGCAATTATATAAATCATTAATTGTGCCACAACTTGAGTATTGTGTTCAGTTCCAGTCATTTCATTATAGATAGGATGTAACTGGACTCGAGAGGATACAGAAGATGTTTACATCAATGAGTCTTGGACAGGAAAAATGCATCAATGAGGAAAAACTGGATGGGCTGGGGCTGTTCTTGGATAAAGGAGGCTGAGGAGAGATTTGATTGAAATGTACAAAATTGAGAAGGGCCTGAAAGGAGTGAATGAGAAATGCATTAGCGTACTGGTCACTGACTAGTGACACAGAATCATACAATCCTTCTAGTGTGGAAGCAGGCCATTTGGCCCATGTAACCCATACCAACCCTCCAAAGAATAACTCACCCAGACCTGAACCCCTGCCCAATCCCTGTAGCCCTGCAATTTCCCATGGGTAATCTATCTAGCCTACACATCCCTGGCCAATCCACCTAACCTGCACATCTTTGGACTGTGGGAGGACACCCGAGTATCCGGAGGAAACCCATGCAGACACAGGGAGAATATGCAAACTCCACACAGTCACCCGAGGCTGAAATCGAACCCAGGTCCCTGGCACTGTGACGCAGCAGTGCTAATCACTAAGCCACCGTGCTGCCTAGATTTAAAGGGATTGATACAAAGATTATTAGAGAAATGAGGAATTTATTTTTCACCCAGAGGATGGTTTGGGTCTGAAATTCATTGTTTGAATGAGTCGTAGAGACAGAAATCCTCTACCCTTACAAGGTGTCTGGATAAACACCTCAAGTGGCAAAACCTGTAGAGTTACAGACAAGACGCTGGAAAGCAGAATTACACTGGGTGGCTTGTTTCTTGGCTGGCACAGTAACGATAAGCCAAGTGGCCTCTTTCTGTGTCGTAAATGTACTGTCATTTCCATGATTCTAAATCTCTTCCCACTCGATTTCATCTCACCTTATCAGCGTATCTTTCTAATCCCTATGCTGTATTGTACTGGTCAAGTCTTTCCTGAAATTCATCAGCATACTCTTGTATGATCACAAGCAAAAGACAGGGAAGAATTGATTGACTTACCTTATTCAGCTAACACTTTCAAAATTCATTTGGTCTCAAACACCATCTGTGCAACTGAGGAGACTTTGTTCACGTGACAATACATTTAAACACACGTCCTAGAAATTTGAACGGTCCTCTTGTGAAATGTTGTATTCTGTTAAATCATATGCTCCTGTGGCTACTAGTACAATTATTGTTTTCCTCAATGTCATTGGATTTGAAATCAGAGAATTCAGGCACTTAAAATCTAAATAGCAAGTAGCATGTGAGGCACTGATAGGAAAAGACTGATGCTGATTGGGAAATATGTCCATCCAATTGGTTCCCATCTGATCCAGTCAGTGTGTAATTTCAAGCTTACCTGAAATGATCTCTGCCTGTTGACTGGTCGTTTTGAGCTGCCACGTCCAAATTTCTCAGTAATACCAGATATTCTCTGCTTTTTCCATGTGGTAATAATAGTTTTAATTTCATCTTTAATTTCCTAGAAATGTAAACAGTGACACAATGATTATAAGAACAAGGAGTGGCATTTAAAGTTTTTGAGAAGATTTGTAGCTTGAGTTGTGGATGAGGTTGCAGACTTGCTTGCCAAGCCGATTGGGTTTGGTTGCAGACGTTTTGTCACCCTTCTAGGTAACATAGTCAATGCGCCTCCGGTGAAGCATTGGTTTTCCATCCCGTTTGTTATTTATATGCCTTGTTTGCTGGGATACTTGGTATTATTTCTGGTTCTGCTTTTCAGTGGTTTGTATATCGGGTCACTTCAATGTGTTTGTTGACGAGTTCCGGTTGGAATGCCAGGCCTCCAGGAATTCCCTGCCATGTCTCTGTTTGGTTTGTGCTATTATGGATGTGTTGGCCCAGTCGAATGCATGTCTTTCTTTGTCCATGTGTATTGAGACGAGTGAGAATTGGTCGTGTCCCCTGGTGGCTAATTGGTGTTTGTGTATCCTTATTGCCAGTTTTCTTCGAGTTTGGCCCATGAAATGTTTCTCACAGTCCTTGTGTGGTATGTTGTACATTACATTAGTTTTATTGTGGTGGTTATGCGGTTCTTTACATTTGTCAGTAGCTGTCGCAGGGTAGTTGTTAGTTTGTGGGCTACCCTGTTACCTAGGGGCTGAGTAGTCTTGTGGTCATTTCCGGCATGTCCCTGATGTACGGTAGGGAGACTAGTGTGTCAGGGCGTGTTATGTCTTCTTGCTGTGGTCTGTCACGGAGGTAACGGCAGACTGTGAAATAAAACTGACAATAAGGATACACAAACACCAACTGGCCACCAAGAGACATGACTAGTTCTCACTGGTCTCAGTACATACAGATAAAGAAGGACACGCATTCGACTGGGACAACACATCCATAATAGCACAAGCCAAACGGAGACATGCCAAGAAATTCCTGGAGGCCTGGCATTCTAACCAGAACTCCGTTAACAAACACATTGAACTGGACCCTATGTACATGTTACTGAAAAGCAGAACTGGAAGTAATACCAACCACCCCAGCAAACCAAAGCATATAAATAACAAGTGGGATGGAACACCAATGCTTCACCGGGGGTGCACTGATGATGTTACCTAGCGGGGTGATGAAATGTCTGCAATCAAACACACTGGCTCAGCGAGCAAGTCTGCAACCAGGGAGTGGCATTGTTCTATATGTTTCAAGTATTTTCACATCCCAAAAATACACTCTCAGACATGTCACATTGAATTCCTGTGACGTAGTCTCGGTCATTTAAGAACAAGACAGAGCACGGGATAAGAAAATGCTGTTCACGTTCCTAAACCATCATCGGCACAAGCTATGCACAACTATATGTCAAGAAGACAGCTCCACACCACCTTTTCACACAACTAGGGATGGGCAAGACATGCTGGCCAGCCAGCGACGCCCACATCCCACAAATGAATTTAAAAAAAACTATCCTCACTTGAAACTAATCCAACCTTATTCCATGTCCTGGGGTCTAATTGCACACAATAGTACATAACAATAAGTTCAAAATTTTTTTTTAAAATCACTCGTGATATGTGGGATTGTCTAGCCAGGCCAGCGTTTATTACACAGATCTAACTGCCCTTGAGAAGGTGGTGGTGGTGAGCCATCTTCTTGAACCACCATATATACAGTATTTTCCATGCTATTCCCCCCCCACCAACCGCAAAGTGCTCTTAAGTAGGAGTTCCACGATTCTGAACCAGCAACAATGAAAGAACAGCAAATAGTTGCACATCAGAATTATATGTGACTTGCCAAGGAACCTGAAGATGGCAGTGTTCCTAGATACCTACTGCCCTTCTCTTCGACCTGGAGAAGTCATAGTTTTTGAAGGTGCCATCAATAACACCATGAGTTGCTGCAGTGCATCTTCCAGCTGGTATATATTTGCAAGCATATTTTGCAGACAGGCCTTATGTCTTGCCATTGGAGGTAAATTGAGATGCATCCCAGTTCCAGACCTTGGGTGATATTTAAGGACAGAGGCCTGTCTCCAAGCACTGCTGGCCCAGTTAGAGGGCTGGCAGTTCTACAGCTTCAACACCACCATCCCTCAGGCCACAGCTCCAGAGGGAGGGGGCCTCAATGCTGCTGCACCCTTGAGGAGGGATAGGCAATGTTGGTGGGAGCTAAGACTTGGCAGGGAGGCCCTGTTGAAAGATGCTGAGACTTAGGAATGGAATCAGCCATTGCTACTGGAGGCTCCTCCATGGGCCACAGAATATTCACAATGGAGGACTCCCATCAGAAGGCTGCTAGGGTTACTGGTGGTCTAACCAAATGTCAACTGGGTGGACCTCCTTACTGAGAAGGGCAATGACCCTTACCTAGCCAATTAAGTGGTTCAATTAACCACTATCACGTGGCCGATCCAACAATATTCGCACAGTGGCAGGAAGATTTCAAGCTATCCTTCTGACATCTTCCTCCACCACTTTAAAATGCCTCCTCTTTCCCAGTCCATCCCCATAGGACTCAGAAAATCCAGCGTGTGCATCAGTGGTGGACAGATCCAGTGAAAGTTTAAAGGTGCTGACTGGCTGTGAAACAGGCTGTTTTGACCTTGATGACGTTGAGCTTCCTGAGCGTTGCTGGACATGCACTCATCCAACTAAATGGAGAGCACTGCACCAGAAGCCAAACCTGTATCTTAAGTATTGAGGAAATAAGAATCAGGAGATAATTTGCCACAGTATACCCAACCACTGACATTCTCTTGCAGCCACCTTATTTACAAATTGTCGAGCTAAGCTTTTGGTCAAAGTCAATCACAGGATTCATATGGTGAAATATTCAATGACAGTGGCGTCAGTAAGTGATAAAGGGAGATTGTCAAATTGTCTCCTGTTTCCTTAGCCAGTGCACTATCTGTAAACAGTTTTCTCATGCGACTGCTCTGAGGTTCTGCACGTGACAACTGGCATGCCGATGCATTGATTTCCAGCTTCAGCACTTGCTGCCGCACACAGGCCTTGGTACCAGAAATGAAATTAGAGGCAGTATTGCAAAGAACATAAAGATCACTCACCGGGTGCTCTGGCTGAACAGCTAAGGCTTTCTTTAGGAAGACAATAGAAAGGGGATATATTTGCTGCATTGCTAACACCTGAAACAGTTGCAAGCAAACTGTTAATTGCAGTTCACTGCATTTACTCTTCTTGAATGAACAGTTTAGACAGTACTTAATGGGTCACCATTACAAAATAAAACAAGGTCAATAGAAACTTAGCAAAACTAAACCAAAACATAATTATTGTACTAGGGTGATAATGCACCTCACCCCTGTGGAGCCCACCAATCCCTGAAGGCTTCTGTTATGCCAGTGAACTTTGCATGCTGTCTATTAATGGACACCCAAGTATGACCACAGAATAGGGGCAGACAGTAGGGTGCAATATCCACCTCCATGAGCCACTTCCTACACGTGGATGGCTACATTGTACAGAGAAGGTGCTTGAATTTTCCCGCCATCCTCTGCACAGGGGGGGCTATAAATCAAGTGCATAGTTCCGTGCTGCAACCAAAAATTTAAAAGTAGCTCCTTTAAGCAAATGAAAACATTCGAAGTAAACATGAAAAATTATTTCCTCCAAAAACAACATAAGGCCAGGCACCGAGTGAATCTATTCAAATATTTATGGCTTGGGACTGATAATGCAACACGCTCAATCCCAGATCACACCCTTGGCATTCTAAATTCATGGAGCATTGCAAATAAATGAGCTGCTACTGAATAATGGACATACCTTCCCCTTCCTGAATAATGCCTTGCAGTGATGAGGCCGATGCTGCAGGACAATATCACAGCAAGAGATTGTCTCCTTTAAGTTTCCTGTCTTTAAATGACAAGCTGCCATATTGCTATAACATTTCACTTTCTCATCAAGTAGCATATCCTTTTGTTCACGTCTTATCTCACCTTAAAAAAAATTATAATGAGTACCATTCTTAGAAATTCCATGCTGGTATATGTACACAAACCCTGGTTTATGCTCATTCTTCATTTTATTTTGATTCACATCCCTCCCTGGAAGAGGAGAAGCAGTTCTGCCACTCTCACAAATAATCCAACTGTCCAACGCAAAGCTCCTGTCAAATTGGTGGTGGCTGGAGTACTAGCATCAAAAAGTGTGGTAAGCTTTTTAAATCCATTTTCAGGCCAATATTCATCCATTTATAATAGCCATCTATGGTTAAAATCAGCTTCTTTGTCACAGAAGGAAAAAAAACAGTAAAACTTTCAAATGACAAATACTGGTCCAACTTGTTCTGTACACTTCAAAATGGAGTATCAGTACACCCAGTAGATTCATTTCCAATTTTTTACAACCCTTTTTACACTCTGCTTCAATTGCATTCCCTCTATTTCAAGACCCAAACAGGCAGCATTGAAACCACTTGGGGAAAGTATAGGAACATCAAATCGGTAACTCCAACTGAGGAAAAGGAGCAGTTGATCAATAAGCGTTTTGTCTGATACTGAACTAGAAGAACAGAAAGGGAAGGTAAGGTTCACACAAATGGGATTTGATGCATACTTTGTAGCAACCCAGCAGGTAACCATCTCTTATTATAACAAACTTACCCAGCCCAACCAACAGGGAAACCTCCCACCGGACAATATCTTGGCCGAAGAAGGATTTTCCAGTTTGACTCAATTGCGTCCACACCAACCCACAAGGACCCTCCTCTCAATTGTAATGAATCTATGTCACAACTAAGAATCCAATCCACACAGGATTTGTTCAATGGACTTTACACTTAACTTAAACTGTCAATGGATAATGTGACCAGCTTGCCTCCCCACAATGGTACACACCTGCTCTCCCCACAAACTGTCATGAGTAAAAAATCATTCAAAAAGCAAGAGTTAACTATTGAAATTACTGAGTTATCAGCTCTAACAATAACAGATGATAACAGAAAATGTTTTGGGGTTTCAATCTCACGTATGAATTGAGATGATGCTGACTGTGCCTCACTACCTTCGGAACTTGACTCTATAATCTTCAACGCACAAGTATAGGTAAAGAGTGCCAGTTGATAGTCCTTCTTTTGGAAATGGTTATTGCCCTTTTCCCTCTCTCTATTGATTAATTCCAACTGCTCTTCCTCTGTTCGATCCTTTATACGAGTGCCACTGATTGACAGGAGTTGCACTTCAAGAAGAAGTCGAGATCCTGGTGGCTGGCTGAGAGTATGCAAAAGTGCAATGTTTTTAATTGGGAGCAGTTCTTTATAAATTAAGTTTAATTGATTTATGGAGATGGAGAAGAAATTTGTTTGCTCATGCTAACTTTAATTTTTGCACGGGTGAAGACTGAGTGCATACAGGTCACCAGCTTCCATAATAAAAAGATGTACTGATCAAGTAGGTAGAAGCCTTGCCCTGGGGAATTGGCATTAAGTCTGCATAGATAAACAAATTTCTCTCCCATCATTTTAAAAATGTATGACCTATAACTTGCATATGAAGTCATTTTATTGAAAGTTTTGTAAGCCTCTTACACTCTGCCATACTTAATATTTGTTGTCCCAATTATGTCACCAACATTTGTTGTGGCCAGGAGACCAGCATCAAAATGAAAAGCAGGAATCAGCATACCAAGATTACTAACACTGAGATGAGAACAAAAAAGATGATAAGTGATATTATTTTTGATTTGAATCCATTTTGGATTTTCTGTGTTGGCAGGACTTGATTTGTCTGATAATCTCCCTCTATACAAAATCTGACATACTTCTGCAGTAATGACATGGGTTGCAATGTAGACACTCACTGCAACCATCTCTAGAATAGAAACGTACAATCTTTGATCACAGGAGACAGCCATTCAGCCCATCATGTGCTGGCATACTAACAAGGAACAAGAGCAGGCCACTTGGACCCCAAAGCCTGCTCCGTCATTTAATAAGATCAGGGCTGATTTTAACTTTAACTGTACATTCTTGCATTCCCCCAAGAATTTTTCAACACCCTTCGTAATCAAGAATCTATCAGTCTTAAAAATATTTAAAGATTCTGCATCTACTGCCTTTTGAGAGAGGGAATTTAAAAGACTTGCAACTCTCAGAGAAAAAAAACGCGGTGTCTCATTGAAAGAACCATCGAATGTAGTCCTACAACTCAACTTATTATTATGAATGACTTCTCTCATTGATGTAGGTGCCGTGTTGGGGCGACTTATAAAACTTTTCACTGTATTTTTCATGTAAAAGTACATGTGACAATAAATTTCTATTCTATTCAAGGTTTTCTTAGCATTCAATCCCAGGATTCCAGAAGGTCCCTTCACAGTCTATTTAAGATAAAGATGCTGAGTTACAGCAGTATAGTGGAACTACCATTCCTTGGGCTGATTTTCTATTTCATTTGTCCCATGAACCACCCAAATCCTGAAGAGTCAATCTGCGGGACTAGGACTATATCAATCATACAGAGTAAAATGCTGATCATATGAATCCAAGAGTCTTTGTGAAGAATGTAGCCCAGCATAACGGATTAAACGGCCTTGTTCTGCCATAAATTTTCTATTCTTAAAAGCCATCTCTACAATTACAAAATCAAGCAGAATACACACAAGATCAAGCAGTGTTCTGATCAAGCACAAAGAGATTTATGCGTTGGTATTAGCCACAGGAAATGCCTACTGGGCTAAATTTTAATCCCAAAAATTGATAAATTGGGATTGAATCAGAGGTTACAATTAAAAAAAATCTGAAACAGTAATTCAACACCCTCAATCATATCTAATTCTGATTTTATACAGAGGTCAGGGAGGGACAAGTAATGATTAATCTGCTCTCAGGAGGTGTTTCATTTAAATGTTATAAGGTTTCATGTCTTATGTTAGTAGCGATCCTATTTTTAACTCATGCTTTCTAGGTTTCCCAAGCCTCAGGAAACCCAGCAGGTCATAAATTCAGAGTCATACAGACGCTTCGGCCCAAATTGTCCAAGCTTACTGGGTTTCCTAAACTGAACTAGTCCCATTTGCCTGTGTTTGGCCCACATCCCTCTAAACCTTTTATATTCATGTACTGTCTAAATGTCATTTAAATGTTGTAACTGTACCTGCATCTATCACTTCTTCTGGCAGCTTATTCCACATACACACCACCCTCTTTGTGAAAAAGTTGCCCTTCAGGTCAAGAAAGCTTGAATCAATGAACTAATTGCCTTTACAGCACTGTTATGTGGTCAGGAAGAACAAAGGTATTTTCTTCTGCTGCAATAGGTAACCCACGGAGATATTCTTACCTTCTTGAACTATCTGCCCCCTCCCAAACTATGAATGGATTGTCTGGACAACATCCGAACCCCCTTGCCTATTGCCATCTGATTTCACCCCTCCCGCATAAAATCCCACAATTACCCACCCCACGATTTCTCCTCCATGCCCTCCACTGGGCCCCCCTGTTCTTAGGACAGCTTGACTGAAGGGCTTCTGCTTTACGATTTTCACCCTCTAGCCTATAAATCAGCAGGTTCTGGGAAAGTGGCATGTTCAGAAAGAATTTAAAGACATTTATTCCCCCAACCTTAAAAATTGGACAGGAAACCTATACTTCCAGCTTTTCACACATCAAAATGCTCCCCACCCAAAATTTCATATACTAAGCAAACCCAGTGAATGAACAGGGCAACTAGACCAAACTCTGAACACATGGTTTGAAAAATTCTCAATCAAAAAACAAAGAAATGCTGAAAATGAGTTTACCAGGTGGTTACTTAAATACATTTTCAATCTCAAGTGAAATACTGCCATTACAGCATCTAACTTCCTGTCCAGAGATGTAATTGTTGTAATATTTTTGTATTGCTTCCAACAACTTTATCCAGTATTCAAAAGAAATGCTTGCCCCAATTATCATTACTACTTCTTGATCCCTCCCTTCCACCCTAGAACATTATTGAAGATCTGAGTCACCAGTCATCATTAAAGTTTTTCAGACAATCTCTGCCAAAATGTCTTATGATTTACTGACTGATACAGTAACCACCCTGTCAGCGTGTGTTCTGAAAGGAAGGCACAAGTTCTTCCAATGACATGGAAGCTCTTGGACCTTAGTACTAAAAAGATGGAATACAACATCAATCTTCTCAAATGAAAAATTCAAGTAATCCTTTCTTCCCATATTTGCTGAATATGGGTGAAGTTCTCTGCTTTTATTAGAGCAACAAGTCACCAACAATTTATCCTTACTTGTAGATCTGAAACAGCTATTAAAAACGAATTGAACTTTTTCTCTTATCAGCATGCAATTTGCAAAATTCCTGCAACAAAGACACAGTAGAGTATAACAAGGATTGTGGCAACATACACTTTTCACTGTACCTAGATAACTTTTTCATGCAGAGGGGTATATGTATGGAAAAAGATGCCAGAGGAAGGGCTGGAGGCAGGCACAATTACAACATTTAAAAGGCATCTGGATGGGTATACGAATAGGAAGAATTTTAGAGGGATATGGGCCAAATATTGGCAAATTGGCATGTCTGGTTAGCGTGAATGAGTTGGACCGAAGGGTCTGTTTCTATGCTGTATGACTTTATGACAATATCAAATAAACCAAAAAAGCTAACACAATTTAAAATAATTCATTGCATTCAATAATCAATACATTAACAAAGCAGAAACAAATCAGGTCACATGAACGAATACATGTTGTTCTTGTTGGTCATTTTCAAATCATAAATTTTGTATGTCACTGATAATATTATCATTGCTCTGTGTTGCTGTTTGGACAGCGACGTAGGTATAATCCAATAAATTATGTGGGCTGCAATAGGAAACATTCTCACAAGTTTCACAGAACAACATGGAATTACCTAGACAGTAAATTAACCTTTTAGATCATTATGATTGAAAATGTTGACATGCAGTGATCACCATACAGTTGCTGATCCTGCAGTAGAAGTTATAGCTAAATTGGGTTTAATAACCAACGTACAAAGACTGTGGTTTATCAGACAATGGTGATGACATTCACTTTGTAGTAGATCAGTCAAATATTTGCAAAATAAAAATGACTACACTCTGGGCAATGAAAATGTGTCTAATCAATTTACATGGATAAATGTAGTCAATAAAGTTAAATATGCATTGGCTTACGAGAGAGACACAGGTAGAAAAGCCTGATTCATTCAAAATGCTCAAGCATGTATTGCAGCCTGTTCACCAGCTCTATAGATGCCAGGAGAGGTTTAGTTCCTAATTTATTTTCTCCCAGTAGAAAATGGAAGAGTTGCCCAACTCCCAGATCTGATAAGACTTAACAATAGCCAGATATAGTCATTTATTGAATACTATTAAAATAAATGATCTTTGTTGTATAGAGATAATAGGTTATATAGCTTACATTTTATTACATAACTGATCAATCCTACATTATATGAAATTACTATACTTTAAAGGTCTTCACTTTATTACATAAGGACATTCATTCACTGTTTCTTATGCAGTACATAACTGAACTGATGTCAGCGTTCATTTCCCTACGCAGTTAGTTAATTCCTCCTCCTGCAGTAGAAGTTATAATCATACAGTCATACAGTATGGTAACAGACCCTTTAATCCAATCAGTCTATGCTGACCATAATCCCAAACTAAACTAGTCCTGCCTGCTCCTGGCCCATATCCCTCCAAACATTCCTTATTCATGTACTTAACCAAATGTCTTTAAACATTGTAACTGTACCCACATCCACCACTTTCTCTGGAAGTTCATTCCACACACAAACCACCCTGTGTAAAAAAAACCTTTCAAATCTTTCCCCTCTCCCCTTTAAAATATGCCCCCTAGTCTTGAAATTCCCCATCCTAGGGAAGAGACACCTGCCATTCACCTTATCTATACCAAACATGATTTTATAAACCTCTATATGGTCACCCGTCACCCCCTAAGCTCCAGTGAAAGAAGTCCCAGCCTATCCTGCCTCTCCTTATAACTCAAACCCTCCATTCCCAGCAACAACCTGGTCAATCTCTGAACCCTCTCCAACTTAATAGTATCCGTCTTATAACAGGGTGATCAGAACTGGACACAATATTCCAGAAGAAGACTCAACAACATCTTGTACAACTCCTATACTCAAAGATCCAAGCAATGAAGACAAGTGTGCTAAACGCCTTCTTAACCAGCCTGTCTAAATGAAATACAAACTTCAAAAAGGTTTTGGAGTAGATCTGCAGCTCGGGTTGTGGGTGTTGAGGTTGGCTGGCTCACTGAGCTGGTTTGTTGTTCCGCAGATGTTTTGTTACCGTGCTTGGTAACATCCAAAGCACAAGAATTCCTGGAAGCATGGCACGCCACGAAGCAGGCTATTAATAAACACATTGAACTCGACCCCATATACATTCCACTACGGAGGAAACCCAGAAGTGAGGCAATCCATGGCAACGGACCCCAGAGTTTAAAACCAGGCGGGAAAACACACCAACGCTACATCAGAGGCTGCACTGAGGACGTTACCAAGCACAGTAACGAAATGTCTGCGGAACAACAAACCAGCTCGGCGAGCCAACCAACCTCAAACTTCAAAAAATGATATACCTGAAACCCTAGGTCTCTCTGTTCTACAACACTACCCAAGGCCTACTTTGAATTGTATAAGTCGTGCCCTTATTTGTTTTATCAAAATAAATAATTCGGATTTATCCAATTAAACTCCATCTGCCACTCCTCAGCCCATTTATCCAATTGACCAATATCTCTTTGTAATCTTAAATAACCTTTTTCACTGTCTAATATACTACCAATCTTGGTATCATCCACAACTTACTAACCAGTTAGACAACTTACTGTCTTCTATATTCTTATCTAAATCATTTATATAAATGAAAAACGTGGATGCAGCATCAATCCGTGTAGAACACTACTGGTAAATCAAGCTATTTAGACATGACACATTTCCACAGCAGATAGCACTCGACTGTGGACTTTCTGGCCCAGAAGTACCATTGTGCTACAAACAGCCAATCACCTCCTGTGGCACAAATGTGTTATTGGCTCGATGCCTGATTGAACCCTGAATCAGTTTCCCACAGCAACTTTTCCATTGGTGTCAATTATTATTAGGTTACACCATTTCAATTTTCGAGAGGAGAAAACTCACTTTAAACTCCCTGTTTCTATGCCTCATAGACACTCGCACAGAATAAAAGAGCCATTCAATGAGCCTTCTGTCCAGTGCTTTAATACTTGGGTGATTTATCAGAAGACACAGTGAAGGGTGAGGAAAAGGAATTACCACTGACCTAAGAGTCATAGAGCTGTACAACACGGAAACAGACCCTTCGATCCAACTTGTTCATGCCGACCACATATCCTAAATTAATCTAAACCCTTTTGCCAGTTTTTGGTCCATATCCCTCTAAACCCTTCCTGTTCATATAGCCATCCAGAAGCCTTTTAAATGTTGTAATTGTACCGGCCTCCACCACTTTCTCTGGCAGCTCATTCCCTACACGAACCATCCTTGGCATGAAAAAGTTGCCCCTTAGATCCCTTTTAAATCTTTCCCCTCTCACCTTAAACCTATGTATTTGTCTGAAATATCTGAATAATTGGTGCAACATATTATCTTTAACATTTCCATAGAGAAAAAAATTCAGGATAAATTTAGAATTTTTCTTGTGTAATTAGTAAAGATAAGGAATTCCTATAAAAGTAGCCTGGGCTCCTAACTTCACTCATTGTCACTGGCAATCATTAACAAGCATGATTATCCACATGAAATTCCATGTGACTGGTGCATCCTTGCATAGCTGATGAGTCTGATCCTAGAGCCAGATCTCTAACCACACAATTGGCAGATGTTTTCGACAACTGGAAGTGGTCATTGGCCTTGAGATTGTTGGCATTCCTTCCTCCAGTTATTTTTCTGTCTTCCTCTTGCTGACAAGTGTTCCCGGAGAATTTTGTCCCTTCAAGTCGGATCCTTCTGAACAAGAGTCTCCCATGCAATGACATCTATGTTGTGTTTCTTGATGGCAGCCTTCAGAGACCCTTTAAGATGCTTCCTTTATCCTCAAGATTTGCTTTGGCACTCAGAACTCTGGCATCCTAAGCACATGGCCAACCTGGTGGAGTTGGTTTCAGATGATCACAGCCTCAATGCTGGTACTATTAGCTACTTCAAGGAGGTTGATGTTAGTATGCTTGTTCTCCCAGCTGCTGCGGAGAATCCATCTTAAACAACATTAATGGTACTTCTCAAGGGTCTTGACGTGGCGTCAATATGTAGTCCCAGGTTTTGGTGCCATTTAGAAGAGCTAGCAGGATGACTGCTTAATACAGATGGATCTTGGTATCAGCATGGATATCACAGCTGTCAAAGACTCTCCTCTTTAGGAACGTGAAGGCAGCACTCACATATTGGATCTCCATATTGATATCAGTCTTGGAAAAGAGATAGATTCTCAGCTAATGGAAATGTTCCCTGTCCATGCAGGATTTCTCCATTGATCCTAATGGAGGCTTAGTCCAGAACTTGTCCAAGGATGGGTTTGTAAAGGATTTGAATCTGCTTGACGTTGAGGTGGTATGTTTCCACAAAGGCGTTAAGCGAGGTTTGAAGTTTCTCTACCACCAGAGCAGAGCAGGCATTGCCATCTGCATACTGAAGTTCCCCAAGCAACGCCCATGTTATTTTCTTTGTCGGTTTCAACTGGTTGAGGTTGAAAAGTTTTCTGTCCACAGACAGTGACCACATCACTGGGAAGCTTGTTCTTGACAAGATGTAGAATAATGGTGATGGAGATGAGAAAAAGATGGGGGCGATGACACATTCCTGCTTGATCCCTACCTTGACCTCAAAGGAGGTTGTCATATTACCATCGGTGAGGATGGTCGCCGATGTCTTGTTGTGGAGGAGACAGAGCATGTTGAGGAATTTCACTGGACAGCTGGTTTTTGACAGGGTCTTCCATAGAACATCCTCATTGACTGAGTCAAAAGCCTTGGTTAAATGGATGAAGGCCAAACAGTTTCAAACTCAATCTCACAATGTATGAACCCTCACAGACAACAAGCAAAACAATTGTCCAGAATGAAGAACTGCCCTACTACACTAACTCACTGCCTGTCATTCTTTCTCCAACAACAAGCACACAGACACTGACTATCTGATAAGCAGTTTAGGAGCTATTTGGTCCTGTACAGCTGTCTGGTTTGATACAAATGAGACCGAGGGGGCTCGAAAATTGTAGTTGTGTCGTCAGAGCTGGGCAGGTTTCCAGGAAGTTTACTCTGTCAATCACATTATTTATATTCATATCATTATCATATTAATATCAACTGATGGCAAGTTTATGTTCTACTACAACTACGGCATGAGCACTGTTCACTGTTAAACAATGATGCATCCAATCTTACCATTCTTCATTTGGGGAACAAAATCTCACATCAGCAAGGATCAAAATAGTTTCTTCTAGCTTCATCAAAGGAACACAGATCTCAAGTGCCTTGGAAAGAGAAAGGTTTTACAAGGAAATTAAGCGTGGTTCAATCTCAAATCCTACTGAACAGCATGAACTGAAATTGATCATTCACAGAATCACAAAACTGCTACGGCACAGCAGATCATTTGGCCCAGCCAACCTACACAGTCTCTTCAAACGAGCATTATTACCTAGTGCCAATCTCCTATATTTTCTCCATACCATTGCGTGCTATTTTTATCCAGATAATCATCTAATGCCATCATACTCACCTTTTTTTTTGAAAGAGTCATAGAGTCATACACACAGAAACAGACCCTTAGGTCCAATCCACCGATGCCAACCAGTTATCTAAATTGAACTAGTCCTTTTAGAGTCAGAGATGTACAGCACAGAAACAGACCCTTTGGTCCAACTCATCCATGTCGAACAGATATCTTTAATTAATCTAATCCCATCTGCCAGCATTTGGCCCATATCCCTCTAAACATTTCCTATTCATATACCCATCCAGATGCCTTTTAAATGTTTTAATTGTACCTGCCTCCACCACTTCGTCTGGCAGTTCATTCCATACACGCATCTCCCTCTGTGTGAAAAAGTTGCCCCTTAGATCCCTTTTAAATCTTTCCCCTCTCACCTTAAACCTTTGCCCTCTAGTTTTTGACTCCCCCACCCAGGGAAAAGACCCTGTCTATTTACCCTATCCATGCCGTCATAATTTTATAAACCTCTATAAGGTCACCCCTCAGCCTTTGACACTCCAGGGAAAATAGCCCCAGCCTGTTCAGCTTCTCCCTATAGCTTAAACCTTCCAAACCTGACAACATCCTTGTAAATCTTTTCTGAACTCTTTCAAGTTTCACAACATCCTTTCTATAGCAGGGTGACCGGAATTGCACACCGTATTCCAAAAGTGGCCTAACCAATGTCCTATACTCAATGCACTGTCAAATAAAGGCAAGCAAACTAAATGCCTTCTTCACTATCCTAGAACCTGCATTCCAAAGGTTCTTTGTTCAGCAACACTCCACAGGACCTTCCCATTAAAAGTATAAGTCCTATCCTGATTTGCCTTTCCAAAACGCAGCACCTCTCATTTATCTAATTAAACACCATCTGCCATTCCTCAGTCCATTGGCCCATTGGGTCAATATCCCATTGTACTCTGAGGTAACCTTCTTCACTTCCACTGCACCTCCAATTTTGGTGTCATCTGCAAACTTACTAACCATACCTCCTATGTTCACATCCAAATCATTTATATAAATGACAAAAAGCAGGGGACTCACCACCGACCCTTGTGGCACACCATTGGTCACAGGCCTCCAGACTGAAAAGCAACCCTCCACCATTACCCTCTGACTTCTACCTTCGAGCCAGTTTTGTATCTAAATGGCTACTTTTCCCTGTATTCCATGTGATCTAATCTTGCTAACTAGTCTACCATGAGGAACCTTGTCGAACGCCTTACTCAAGTCCATATAGATCACATCCACCGCTCTGCCCTCATCAATCCTCATTACTTCTTCAAAAAACTCAATCAAATTAGTGAAACACAATTTACCATGCACAAAGCCATGTTGACTATCCCTGCCCAGACCTTGCTTTTCCAAATACATGTAAATCCTGCCCCTCAGGATTCTCTCCAACAACTTGCCCACCACTGATGTCAGGCTCACCGGTCTGTAGTTCCCTGGCTTTTCCTTACCACTTCTCTTAAATAGTGGCATCACATTAGCCAACCTCCAGTGTTCCGGCACGTCACCTGTGGCTATCAATGATACAAATATCTCAGCAAGGGGCCCAGCAATCACTTCCCTAGCTTCCCACCGAGGTCTAGGGTACACCTGATCAGGTTCCAGGGATTTATCCACATTTATGCATTTTAAGACATCCAGCACCACCTCCTCTGTAATATGGATATTTTTCTAGATGTCGCTATCTCAATTTGCCCATTTTTGGCCCATATCCCTCTAAACCCTTCCTATTCATGTACCCATCCAGATGCCTTTTAAATGCTGCAATTGTACCCACCTCTACCACTTCCTCTGGCATTCAATCCATACACACACCACTCTGTGTGTGGAAACATTTCCCCTTAAGTCCCTTTTAAATCTTTCCCCTCTCACCTTAAACATATGCCCTCTAATTTTGGACTCCCTTACCCTTGTTAGAAGACCTTGGGTATTCACCTTTTCTATGCCCTTCATGATTTTATAATCCTCTATAAATGTCACCCCTCAGTCTCCAACACTCCAGTGACGAAAGTCCCAGCCCATCCAGCCTCTTCTTACAACTCAAATCCTCCAGAGACGACAACATCCTTGTTATCTTTTCTGTACCCTTTCTAGTTTATCAAAATCCTTCCTACAGCAAGGTGACCAGAATTGTACACAGTATTTCAAAAGTGGCCTCATCAATGTCTTGTACAGCTGCAAAATGATGCCCCAAAGGCAGAGATTTGAGTATTTTTTTTATTTATTCATGGAACATGGGCATTTCTCATTGCTCTTGAGAAGGTGGTGGTGAGGTGATTTCTTGACCCACTGCAGTCCACATGCTGTAGGTTGACCCACAATTCCATTAGGGAGAGAATTCCAGGATTCTGACCCAGCAACAGTGAAGGAACGGTGATATATTTCCAAGTCAGGATGGTGCGTGATTTGGAGGGAAACTTGTAGGCGCAGGCGTTCGCGTGTATCGGCTGCCCTTGTCCTTGGTCATGGGTTTGGAAGGTGCTGTCTAAGGATATTTGGTGAATTTCTGCAATGCATCTTGTAGATAACACACATTGCTGCCACTGAGAGCCGGGGTTGAGGGAATGGATGCTTATGGATGTGGTGCCAATCAAGCAGGCCGCTTAGCCCTGGATGGTTTCAAGCTTCTTAAGTGTTATCGGAGCTGCACTCAACCTGGCAACAGGGGAGTATTTTATCACACTCCTGATTTGCATGTTATGGATTCTGGACAGGACTTTGGGGAGTCAGGAAGTGAAATACTCCTAGCCTCTAACCTGCTGTTGTAGCTACACTGAGTATTTGGCGAGTCCAATTAAGTTTCTGGTCAATAGTAATCCCCAGGATGTTGATAGTGTGGGATTCAGTGATGGTAACACCACTGAATATCAAGGGCTGATAATTAGATCATTTCTTATTGGAGATGGTCATTGCCTAACATTTGTGCAGCACTAATGATACTTGCCACTTGTCAGCCCAAGCCTGGATATTGTTGGATCCAGATCTTGTTGCATTTGAAAATGGACTGCTTCAGTATTTGAGCAGTCATGAATGGTACCAAACACTGTGCAATCATCAACGAACATCCTCACTTCAGACCTGATGATGGAGTGAAGGCCATTGATGAAGGAGCTGAAGATGGTGGGACTAGGACTCTATCCTGAGGAATCCTGAGTCCTGTGCATTGAGACACTACTACATCGAAAGTGGAGGAACGTAGTGGCAAGATTATATATCTAAATTCTCAATATCTATCGCTTGGAGGGCCATGGAAAGGATGCCCGCTCCCAAGTCAAGCAAGTTAAATAGTAAAATGATGCGGGATTAGGTTTGGAAATGTGTTAAAAGGAAATTATTAGTCAGTACATTCTGAGTCTTTTCCTATCCTATAGCATATATTTGAACAGCTGTTAATGACTATCCATATTTGAAGATGCGCTTTTTTGACTGTTTCACTCAAATGTAACTTTTTATCATTCCTGCCACATAAATATCAACAGTGGCTTTGTCACAAGGGTCCTTCTGTTTGTTGTATTATCACTGCTGCTGGAAGGTCCACAGTCCTTGGCAAACTTCTCTCCAAGTTTTCCCACAAGAAACCAAATTTTAGACAACCACTCTGTACTGCAAGCCAACTAATAAATACATGTAAACATAGTCATTTGGTATTACAGAACTTGAGTTGAAAAATGTCTAATTTTGTAAAAATTTTTCATCTTTCACTCAACAGGACAATTTGTAAGAATATCAATAAAGGAACGATCAACAATGTATGAGAAGAGAATGCCGACTGACCGCCAAGTAAATTCTGATTGGTAGAAGTGTTCTATGATAAGGCAGCAATTGACAGTTAACTACCAGGCTTTGTTTAGGTTTTAAACCGGGCAGGTTAATTCTGAGAAAAGCTTCAACAAAATGTGTCTTTTTTTTCCGGAAATACTTCTACATCTCCCACATGATCATCAGATATACTTACCTTATGTTTTGTGCCACAAAGTAATACTTCATTATAATGTACGTACATCAACATATGATTTTCAGCTCAGTATTATTGAAGATTTACAATTCGCTCACTGTCCTGTGTATTACGTCAAGTGAATTGGAGGCAATCATTAATTAGAAATAATTGGAATTATTGTTCACAGCAAGTCTCTGGCATCTGATGTCAGAATCTGCAGTGAAAAATGCTAAATGTGCCAAGTACATGATTCTATTTTAGCCCCTTCACCATCTTAGATGTCAGTGTACAGCCAATTTAGTTCATTTAGCGTGACACTGAGGAGAAATGGAGTACATTGAAAAGGGCAACAATCTCCTAGTATTAGTGCTGAAGACCTGCTGAAGACCACATGCCAAGCTAGTTCAATATAGCTACAACAGTGATAACTAGCCACAAAATGGAAAACTGCTGAGGTTTATTCTATTGACAAAACGTAGCATCAAATGTGACCAATTACTTCATCCCTATTATTAGTGAAGAAATAGAACTCTCAGTAGTGTCAAAAAATACATGCTCACCAGTAACACGCTCATCAAAGCTTTACCACTTTTACAGAGCTCCAAGCTTTAAACCTCATCAGAGTCTCGATCCAGGCATGGAAAGAAGATTTGAATTCCAGAAAAGTGAGAGTGGCTGCTCTTAATATCAAAGCAGTGTTTGACTGAATATGGCATCAAAGTACCATAGAAAACCTGATGTCAACACAGATCAAGAGGAAAACTCTCCACTAGTTGAGCACCACTTGAGGCAAATCATGGTTGCCAAAAGCAAATCATTACATTCAAAGCAAACAATTGTAGGGGAGCTCATAAGACAAAAATGACCTTTTTCTGATATACCAGAAATAGGGTTGTTTTCTAAAGATGCTACACTTTTCAGCACCATTTACAATTCCTCCTATAATAAACCAGACAGCCAACCATTAGCAGAAGCTAAACAATGATATTTTGAGCTGAATTCTCAGCTAATAATAATTTCCATAAGGAACAATCTAGTTTCCTGTCACTGATCTTCAACAGCACCAACATTAGTGAATCCCCCAAAGTCATCATTCTGAGGTCACACTGTTCAGAAGCTCTACTACACGAGTAATTGCAACAATATACTACAAAGGCTGGAGAGAATTTGGGTGTTCTTTAATGATTTTTCAAACCCTCTCCTCCATCCACTAGGTTCAAATTAAGAATCTGATGTAATATTCACTACTCACATTAATAGATGTAGCTGCTACAACACAACAGAACTCAGAAGTTATTCAGGAAAGAGCTGTCACTTGTTTGGGGCTTTGCCGTAAGACTCAATACTCTCCAACATAGCGCAATGTGTTACTTAAAGAATGCACTACAGCAACTTACTGTGACAGCAGAAGGTCCTAACCCACAAACAAAGAAGAACAAGAGCAACAAGCTCATGGCATGATCAGCCCCAAGTTCCCTCTGACTGGTGTAAAAGTCTTGAAATTCCCTACGGAACACCATCTGCGTAATATGATAAAATCAAACCTGCAGTAGTTCAAGAAGGCCCATCAATATCTTGGGGTAACAGGGTCAACAATAAATGCAAACATCACACATATCTGACAGCAGCATTAAAAAAAATTCAGTATGAGCAAAGCACTGTAGGTGTTGGGAGATCGGAAATAAAACAAAGAGCCAGATTCTGCATCTGTGAAGAGGAAAACAGTGTTTTTGTTTCAAGTCCAATATGACCCTTCTTTGGATTCAAAACATTGTTTCTTTCTACACAATGCTGCCAGACTGGCTACTTTCACCAGCACTTTGTTTATATATTTAAAAAATCAGCACGTACATGACCATTGTGAGCCATTTTGTCAATCTTGCAATAAGTGTGAATCCAATCCTTGGCAGTGCAGATGCTTTGGTCTTCAAGGTGAAAAAAAGCCAAATTGTTCATCCTACTACTCTGTATAGGATTGACTAAATCTTTTTTAATGGCACTTCTTTGATATAATGTGGCAACTTTATTCAAACCATATAAGCACTACTTCACATTAAAGATACATTGAATTTAACCGAACATTGTTTATTTTAATTTGTTTATTAACTTTTACGTACCTGACAAACATCACCACTACCTATCATGAAGTTAAGATATTTGGGGGCTTCAATATCTTTCCTATTTTCAAGCATTGTCCTTATCCAGATATTGACATTTTGGCCAGCTTGTGGGTTGTCAGGTTGATTACTGCTGGATTTGAGAGTTGTTTTCTTCAGCAGGCCATTCCCTAAGGAAACAACTTCATTGTTATACTTTGATATATTTACCTGAATTATCTTGTTCACAACTGCATGCATAGTACATACCAAGCACATCAATCCAGCCTTCAAGATATTGCACTGTATTGCAAGCTATATGTTCGTGCTCCATGTCACAGAATGCTCTAATTGTTACAGTTCTGTTGGGCACACAAAGAACAAACCTATGTCAGAAATTAGGTGAAAAAAAACTCACATGTTGCAAATATGTGTTCATCGCAAAAAGAAGTGGTATCTGGAGTCTTTACAGTACAACAAAGTTCAATACAAGGCTTAATGGTCTAATAGGCATGTAGGATGCTGGAGGATCCTCACAGATATCCTTACACAATAAAAGTTTGTGAAATCAGGTTACATTGAAGTCCTGGAATAATGACTAGGTGGGTAGCCTTTTTTTTTAAACCATAATCAAAATGGATGAGATATAGACCAGAATGGAACCATCTCTTGAATTTAGGTATTTGCTTTATCAATAATGGAAATTTAATTAAAATCTTAATAACTAATACCTATGTAAGATATCAACTGGCAGAACTAACTAATTCCCTGATGTCTCAGTTAACATATTTCCCATTCAATAACTGGACAGACTCCATCTCAATGTGGACAATGTTGGGGTGAAAATGATAATTTCGTTCAATGAGAACTTTCATTAATGTTGCACTATAAATCATTCTCAAAAATAATTTTAAAATTTAAGCAGAAATTGTCAAAGTGTGACTATGAATTGGAAAACTCAAGCAGTGCTTTTCAGTACAGTATTGCATGGACCAGACTGAGCGGAAAGTAATGAGATTAGAGCTCATCTGAGTTGTATTCATATGTCATCCAGGCAAAGAACGGATATCATGATAACCTTAGGAAACAGTGTCCATGAAATCATCAAAGATCAGAAATATCAAAGATTAGGTGCCAAATGTATAACTTTAAGCAGGTTAATTTTAAAGAAATGAGGAAATTAATATGGTGAAAGCAGAAGAACATACTGTACATGGACATCATTTGCAAAGACATTTAATAAGGTTTCATGTGAAAGCACGTGAATCAACAGATACAAGATTTTAGGGTAAATCTTGGAAATATATAAAAAAATTGGCAGAACGGCAGGCAAAAATAGATATTGTGGGCATCCCAATTCAAGTTAGAACCACTGCTACCTCTAATTCATATCACTGACTTGAATTCTGAAACTCATAAATTCAGCAAATTTGGAAATAATAATAAACTAGGAAGGACAGTGGAGTCAGTAATGTATCTCAGAAAATACAAGATAATTTGGATAATAACCTAAGTGGGCAGAACAGTAGCATATTAAGTATAATGCAGTTAACTATGAAATACAGCATTTGCAAATGATAAATGGACGACACATGAATGGTACTGAAATAGACAAAGGTGAATTTGAAAGAAGTCTGCCTTAGTACACTTGAGACTCAATGTGTCTGACCAAAGCAGAATAATTTGTTCTTTAACAACAAAACAAAAAATACAAGTCAAAGAAAGTCATGATCGATCTATATACTGTTCTCATCAGATCATAACTGGAGAGTTATGCATTGTGCCATTCACTGAGATACAAAGTTTATTTTCAAATATTGAAGCAATAAGAATAAACAAGAACTGAAATAACAATTATGATTATCCTTTGGGGTGTTTCAGCATCTGTCATTTCAACATTGTATGTTTATACAGATCCTTTGCAGCATTGGGCAGGATTTCTTCTCCATGTTTGGTGTAGAAAATTTTTAAACACCCTGACGAAGAAAGAGAATATGATTTCAATACCCCTGTACCCGGAGGAACTCTACCCTCCCAACAGTTTCGGAAAAGTTTCCAAGCCAATTTATCACATGATTTTATCAGTATGTAGCACAATTTCATCACCACAAAGGACACAACACTAAATAAAGGTTATACAATTCCTCAACAGTGATGAGTAAAACAGCTTATCAGAGAGATTCCCCTTGTAAAACACAAGTTTTGGAGAGCATACAGTCCCCTGTGCTAGCCCAAAAGAAAATTAGCATGTTACTATATATATTCCCTTTGCATTGGTAAAAAAACACATAAATTGAATACATTACAGTCAGTAGCAATTGAATCATGGTTTGAAAATACAGGAGTCGTTGATAGATGGTAGGGTTGGTGGTTATGAGCTTCCCAGTTGAGTATAGCTTCCTAGGAGGAGTCAGATCAAGAGGAATTCTGATTCCAGTCACCTGTAGGTGGGTCAGGTACAGACAACAGTCACTTTCTTTGCTGGACACAATATCATTAGTTTTTAGTAAGTGCACCCTCACTTTATACTTCAAACCCTGGAAAGTAAGAAAAAAAAAGACTACTTGAGTAATCCAAATTAAAATGTATATAGTCTTTCGTAGCAAAAAAAACCCAAAAATTGCTGGAAAAGCTCAGCATGTCTGACTGCATCTGTGGAGAGAAATCAGATTTAATGTTTCAGGTCCAATGCCCCTTCCTCAGAACTGATGGTAACGAGGAAAATGCCGGGTTTTATGCATTAGACAGGGTAGGAGGAGGGGGTAAGGTGCAAACGATAGGCGGAGATAGAGGCCAAAGAGAGAGAGGAACAGTTGGACAGCCAACCCGAAATGTTAACTCTGGAAAGAAATCAGAGATGTTGCCACACCTGCTGAGCTATTCCAGCAATTTCTGTTTTTGTTTCTGATTCCCAGCATCCTCAGTTCTTTCAGTTTTTATGTAGTCTTTCGTTACACGGATTAAATTGGTAGTAATGTTGATGAACATCGTAAAATTCATTTCTGATTATTATGCCTAAATCTTTATTGGGCATTTTGGAGGCACAGCAATAACGAAAAGGTAAGCATATTTGAAGAAGGCTATTCAGAACAAGTAGCTCTAATTTCAAATCTAAAAAAAAACTATGGCCCTGTTATATTATGTAAATGCAACACTGATAAAGGTTATTACCCAAAGGCATTGCTCCAAAATTTTAATGAGAAGGCAGCTTAGGTATTATCATCAACATGTAGAAAAATAACAAATTATATTGTATCTTTAATAGAATAAAATGTAACAAGGCACTTCACAGATTGCACCGATTGGACACAATAGATATGTGATAAGATTTATAGGAGGTGTTTGAAGGAAACAGTAGATTTGACAAACATTTGATCATAGTAAGTTTTCAGGAGTAAGTTTTTGAAGGAGCTGATAGAAGTAGCAAGGTGGAAAGATTTACACAGGACTTCCAGAGTGTTGAGTGGGTATAGCTGAAGGAGAAAGAGCAAATTCAAAGGCCAGAGTCACAAGAATCAATGGCAATTTAACATAAACCAGGAGGATGCAGTAACAGGGAGAAGACAGGGCAAGAATGATACATAGACAATGGACACATCTTTGAAATTATTGTGATGGCTGTTAAAGAAGAGGCATTAAAGATTGTTGGTGATTGGGAAGATAGACTTAAAGATGGGTAAAACATAAGTGGCTGGGTTTGGGTAATGTTTCAAATTCTGAACTAGAAAAGTTGTAAAATATTGGACTAGTCTAATCTGGAGATGATAACTTGGATAAAAATTTCTGGCACACTATATATAACACAAAGTCGATAGGACAGGAATGGATAATCCCAGTATTAGAATATGGAGTTTGAACAGCAGCTGTAGGTCAACAATCAATAAGTCCCATATTATCCGTCGAGGACTCTGCTTTATTGACACCCTTTCCTCCAATTTAAATGCTCATTTCTTCCACCTTATCTGTAGTGTATACTATCTTCAAGTGTTTTGACAGCACATCCCAAAGTTGCGACCTGTACCACCGAAACGAACAAGGAAAGCAAACGAGCTTTGCTCAAAATCATATATCACATCAAATTAGAAATATATCGCCATTCCTTGATGGGACCAAATCCTAGATCTACTCAAGAAACTCCCCACCCAAGAACATTGTGGGAATAACTCACCATCACTTTCTCAAGGGCAACGAGGGATGGACAATGATGATGGTGTTACGAGTGGCATCCACATCTTGTGAATGAATAAGATGCACAATCACTGAAATAAGGGCATGTATATTTAGCAGGTAAATGGTGCGCGACTACACAGTGCAGCTATCATCGAATGGCATATAGCAACCATGAGTACTGATGTGTGAAGGCGGTGTTGTTTATACGATGGGGATGCAAAGTGCTGTGTCCAGGAATATGAGCAATGAGCCGATGGAATGTGTCATGGTCCAAGCAGCCGATTCATCGAAAGTGGCCACAGGGTGCACCGCGGGGAGTGACAATATCCCGACCCCGGGTGCAGCCAATGCCATCTGTCTATGTGCAGGGTTGCGGTCTCCTGAGGCTCGGCTACTCACCAGCTCCTGGTCATCTACCCACAACCCGAGGCCCGCCGCCCCGATGAGGCCCGGTTACCGTGGAGACCGGCTTGACGTCACAGAGCTCGAGGCCCCGTGACGCCATAGCCCGCGTGTCGGCCGGGAGAAGCACGCATGCGCGGCTTCGTATTTCGGCAGGGGTCCACGTGTGAAGTCTTGCCTGATGATGTCTGTGAGAGTTACAAAATAGTGTGAATTGAATGCAACTCTTGGGAATTACGGCTTATGTTGAAAAGTTCCTGCGACTCTTCTTAATTAAAGGGGGTGAAAGAAGCTGGAATCAGTGCAAATAAGTGGAGACCAGGAAGGCATAAAACATGTTCTATACTCTAACTCTTATTGATGAAAATTAAACTTTGAAACCAATGAACTATCATGGTTTTTGAACGTTTTCAACAAAATGCAAAGGTGGAAGTTCTTCTTGTTGAAGCAAATAATTCGATTAAAAATCAAACATACAGAACATACAGTGCAATGAGGAGAAATGAAACATTAGGACGAGTGATCAAACATACAGAACATACAGTGCAATGAGGAGAAATGAAACATTAGGACGAGTGAGTTCAGATTGGGCTGCACAATTGGTGTAATGTCCCCTCAGAGGGGGCTTCGATGCTGGAAAATTGCATCCTCTTGTCGCTTTTGTAGTGCAATTGAGAGATTTCAATTGAGTAAGTGATGTTTTGCTGAATGCAACTTGGAAACGTGACGAATGCTGGATTAAATTAATGTATAATTTAGCAATATTATTGAGAATTGCTGTAAATTCATTCGTCATAAATTTGCTTGAGGGTAAAAAACAAGAGCACAAATCTGCACAATGGCCACAGTTACGCTGAAACTTTCCAAGATACTCCTGACACAGAAAGCCTCATTGGGCTCCAAGGGAGTACATTGCCCTTCAAATACCTAGTTACTTAGCACACTTATTAAACTTTCTTTTGGCAGCCTAGTGGAATGATGCTGTGCTAGCTACGCCATGGATTTAAAAAAATCACTCGTGACCACTACTGGTGACATCTACATTCTCCAGATAATAGTACCAAAAAAAATGATAAACGACTAAGCACGTATTTAGTGCATACATTTTAAGTTAATGGTTTGGAACTTATTGCTTTTGCACCTCTGTGTCCATCAGTCACTAGCATTGCGTAATTTCTAAACTCGGAGGGATTTGAAAAAGACCCACGCGATCGGAACAACATTGCGTGACGATCCAAAAGATCTTGTCACATAGATGACAGTTCCCACCTTCTCCCCACCCCAAGCCTAGGAAAGGATCAATCACACTGTCCTTAGAATTGCCTGATCTACGTCCTGTACACGAAACAAAATGAACAACCCTCCCAGTTTTTTTTGGAAAAAATGTCGCTGGTTGATGGTTTCGTTCCATTTGTAATAATATTTGGATAGCTCTTCAGCTATCTTTGGCCTATTCTGGATTGGGAAATTTTTCTTCTACCTCTAATTGACTAATGTCTGACTCCAGTAGATTTCTTTAAAAATCCTTTATTTACACTATAGTACATTTGGCACTTACAGGCAAACAACTCTTCCAGCTCTCAGATTCTTGCACAGGATATGTGCCAATAGTGCTGATATAACTGGTAATCACCATGCACATCACTAACTCAGTTCACATAACTCATTTCAGTTGCAAGCTCTGGTGCTATGTGAAGTTGAAGCGATTTTCTAGAACAATAACAGACCGATCTCTTGTCCACCCCCACGTACTTAATAACAAAATAAATTACTGTGGATGCTGGAAATCGAAAACAAAAACAGAAATTGCTAGGTCTGTGGGGAGAAAGTAAAGTTAACGTTAAGCCCAGTGACACTCCTTCAGGACGCAGTACTTACTGTCTCAATTATTAATTGTCTTAGTTATCTTTTGTATAAGCAGATCTTTTAATTGTTCTCTTTAATCTTTCGATAATGAATTTTTGAGCATTATTTATCTTCTTTTCTGCACTGCCCATGTTCCTAACATCCTTGCTACAATGGATATCAGAACTTCATATAATTAGGAACTCACCTGGAGTTGAATTGCACAGGATTGACCAATTAGCAGCCAGAGGGTATACTTATTTTCCAACTAAGGATGCCCTCCAGAGATAAAGGAGTCTCAGCTAGGCCATTGTTGGTGATGGAGAGAGAAAGGGCACTCGTGTTGAGGAGCCATGTCAGCACTTACTGAAATAAAAGAAAAACACAGCACAACTGTCTACTCACCATTACAGGGTAAACTGTATTTACAGCTGTGGCTAGGTGGTTGTGGCGACTGCAAGGGTGCGGCTGGGGGGGCTTTACAGCAATTGTGGTGCACTAGCCCAGGTGATCTGCCACTGGAAGACCATCTCAAATGTTGCAAATTTGGGTACAGTACTTGTGGATTGGAAGGCAGGACATTACAATTTGTTTGTAAAATGAAGAGGGTGAAGAGTGTGCAATCTGTTTAAAAGATGATGTGCTTTTTCTAGGTTTGGAAATTTAAAAAAAATGTCTGCCAGCAGCAAGCACAGAGAGTTTCTGAAATTGAAACATTTGTGTCCAAAGGCCGTATGGTTAGCAACCCAGGCAGCAGTCTTGTTTTGTGATTAAGGCAACCAGTTTGAATATCAACTAATTAATTTAAATCAGGCACTTAGAGACTTTAAAAAAAATTAAATTTAAAATCTGATGGTTTTGACAACCTAGGACCAATCCTATCTTAAGAAACTAAACTGGTAGGTCATCAAGGGTATAAAAGACAGTATTTGAAAATTGGTGTGATAGCAACTGCCATCTGTTAGAGATGACAACCAGCAGCCCTAAAGAGAAAATCACTGGCTCTCACAAAACCATCATCTGACTAAAGGTACAGTGGCACTCTTAGCTAATATTCCTGACACAAGAATTTGAAGGAGAAAGGCATTCCTGACTGAAGAACAACAGAGAAGGCACTGAACATTCAGGAAGACATATCCGAGTTGTAATTTCGAGAGACCAAGTTTTAAGTTTTCTTTTATTAATTTGGTTCATATAAGTGGGACTTCTATCTATTGTAACAGCATACCATGAGAATTTTATTTCATTTGGGAAATTGGTAGTTAAGGGGGGAATTATCTGGTTTGTTAGTAGCTCTGTTAATTTGTTCACTGTTAGGGTTAGATAAATAAATTGTTCCAACCATTTATAACAGATTGGGAGGTGAAAGGCAGGTTATACCACTTTTCACACTTCCTTTAACAAATTATGAGATGAGCTTCTCTGGGTGTTTTGGTTTTAGTTATCAGAGGGGGGTCATGCTCTGCCTCATAACACAAGAGATGCGTCAGACTCCGGAAGCCATGCAAGTTGGTGGTGCAGGAGGTGGGCTAATAGTTGGCCTATTAGTTAACAAAGAAACGATCACACATCATTGAGTAGCCTTTCCACATCCTCTCTGTCCTCCAGCCAAATTTGGGCTTCTAATGGGGAATGGTGTGGCAATTTTGTGCTATACCTACCATAAAAATCCAGTCCCTGCATAGAGTTAACTCAAGATTGTGTGCTGTGATGCGTAGTTCCTCTTAAAGCTATTCTGCACAATTTGTGGTGTTAATTATTTTTATATAATATACAGCACTTAACAACCCAACCATCATTTTCAACAAACTCGTCAATACCTTTCATTTTTATTTTTTTTGCTATTAATTATAAAACCCAGGAGTGATTGTTAGAGCTCAAGCCGTCTCCCTGATGTATTGCCACCTCCTTGCCCATTACCTGGAGAAAGCGGCAATCAGGTGACTATAACACACGTGATCCTGGCAAGCAATTAGTTAAGGTAATTATCAATATTATTAGAAATTTTTTTCATATAGACTCAAAGGCATACTGGACCTCCAATTTGTTTGCAACTTAGAAAGTCAGAGCATTGTGGAACCTTGGAGTTTAAAATGAGGCAAATGTGATGATTTAACTTTGAACCTGAACCCTCATGCTTTCTGCCTGTAAAGGCTTGCAATTAGCTACACCTCAATTATAGACAGATTCACAATATAGTGCTAGGCAGGAGGGATTGATGACCCATCACGTCATCACCATCTTATGTTGCCCTCTTTTTCTCCCCATTTAGATTAGTAGCACGTTGCTTTCACAGTGAGACTGCCGAATGCTTTTTGCTTAGGACATTGTGATTGCTACCCATCACTGCCTCTCTCCTCCTTCCTATTCCCATCCCTAAGCTAACCCCTAATTGGCCAACAAAGATGTATCTGCTGCTGTAGCTACCAGAAGATCTGTCTTGGTTTGCCACACTCTTTGTCTTGTGCTACCCTCACACATTCACTGCAGCTTGTCTGAAACCCCTCATGACACTCTGAACACAGACAATCTACTAATTGGGCATCTCCCATAAAGCTAAGCTAGCGGGGCTAGGTTCTAGAAACACTCTTTGTTGAATTCTCAAAATTCAAACCCTGCATTTCCATGACATTTCTGCTCTTGCTTTATTGGTTGTGGAGGCCACAGGTTACTATCTAAGTGAACTCTGTGAGTTGCTGCAATGTATCATGGAGACATGAGGAAGCAGTTCCATATGCATGCAGGTCGGAAGTAACATTGTCCTTGTTCAAAGTTACCTTGAAACGCATTGATATTTATTTTGAAGAGAACTCCCAGTCATTAAGTCACTGTAGGAAGAATTCCAAATATATTTTACTAAATTCAACATAGTGGTATATTTAAATATTTACACCAGTCATGAACATGCTCTTTACAGAAAGGAACTGCATTATTTTGATGTAAAATGCATACACTGTCTTCAGGATCAGTGAACCTAAAAAATGCATACACTGTCTTCAGGATCAGTGAACCTAATTAATGTATAAAATAAATCACAGCTTTGTTTAGAAACGTGGTTGGACATACATACACCAAATGACCCTTAGGAATTTGGTGTGAGCATGGATTAAAAGAAAATACTTTTAAAAACATCAGCCCGTTAAGTGGGTATGCCTAAGTGCTGCACAGAGAATACTGGGTACCTGACACAGTTCAGAGATGACTTAATAAATTGCAGGGAACAGAATAGATGATTAAGCAACTGGCACTGAGTTACTTAGGAATGACTGAATAAATGACATGGAATTATATGGCAATTAATAGATGTGAAGAAATTATATTCAGAATACTACATATGTGAACCAACCATACAGCTATAGATAAACTCCAACCAGGAACAGGTACATTTCCACTTCATTAAATAAAAATCTATTGCATACAACATTTATTGTTCAGGCCTGTGCCCCTTCTTTCTTTGTCTCCCTTTCTCTTCCTTTTTCCTCTTGATGAGATATTGAGTGCAGAAGCAAGACGTGTGAGCCACATGAGAAGGTGTTCAATTCAAGTCAATTAAAGAATGTTGTTTCATCTAGCAACTAACTTCAGTTGTAGATTCCGGTCAGTGGATTTAAATAACAGCTTAATAGTTGACTTCTTCATGGATTGTGAGCTAGATATTGCTAATGGCCATATCAATGGGCAGACTGGACATTTTGTAAGATGTTCCATTGTCCATTGTTTTAATTGGAGCATTGGACAAGTCAAAATTAAATAACAGGAGTGGACAGGCATATCACACAAATATTTTAAGCATGGTGTTAATAGGAACTTCTAGTTTTTTCGATCTGGACACGATAATACCTTTAAGGGATGTAGATGAATCTCCTAACGTATAATCAGAATACATCTGAGAATCTGAGAGAAAAAAATTACAGAATGGTTAATCAAGAAAAAAAAAGTTCATGACCTGTATTAGAGGTACAAAGTTACACTTCAACATAATAAGCCATAGTCCATCTTGTGCTCATTTTAAATAGTAACTATTAAACATATTACTAAATTTCATCAATTTGTTTTATATACTCCTTTATAGAGGTTAGACAGGGCAAGTTAAATATAGCTTAGCAGTGCTGTACAGATAGGAGAATTTCAAGACATGTTTAACAGGCAGAAGATAAATAGTATTAAACTTAGCAGTTAAACATGGGGTTGACTTGAATCCGATATGTCTAATGTGTTTTACAATTCCTATAAGTGTCTGGACTGGACGCTTACATTGAGAGCTTATTTGTGCTGAATATATATTTGCAACAGTTACTAAATTGTTTGGAGAGAGGCAGTATAAATTAGAAACTGCATGAAGTAGTTACATATTGTTTCAAGTTTTCCACTTACTGTGGATGCCAGTCCAATTACCTGCCCATTAAGTTTATACAGAATCACAGAACCTCTACAGCGTGGAAGCAGGCCATTCAGCCCATCAAGTCCACACCAACCCTCCAAACAGCAACCCAGCCAGACCCCTCCCTACCCTATCCCTGTAACCCTCCATTTCCTATGGCTAATCCAGTTATCCTGCATATCCCCGGACACTATGGACAATTTAACATGGTAAATCCACCTAACGTGCACATCTTTGGACAAATAAATATGGGATTGTGCTGCCTTTAATGAAATCCCTTAAATAAAATTAGTTTTAGGGATGGAAAAATTTAATTAGCCAAATAATGATATTTACACTTTGAATTGTGTTTTAAAATTGAGAAATTCAGGTGAATGTCTAAAGCCCATTTGTTATATAGGCTACCACCGGGGTTGACATAAAAATCAAAGAAAAACATGTTAAATCAGACCATACGGTTAAAGGAGTATTAAGCTTGTGTTTAAAAAGCACAAAGGCTGCAGGAGGTTGAATAGAATACTGGAGGCAATGATATTTCATTTGAAATTTTGAAAAATAGTGAACTTTATAACTTTGTAATATTATTAAGCATTAAACCTGTGACCTGTTGAACCATCAATTAATTCTTTCCCCACAAGCACACAAGTTTTCCAAAATTTGTTACATCTTATAAGATCACAATCATACTGTAGATAGATTCAGTATATTGTAAGCTATATCAATTGTTCTTTATATAATTGTAGAATTTCATTATCAATTAAACTAAATCCTGCTGCTTACCATGGGTTGTACAAGTGCAGGATAATGGGATATAGTCCAGCAAGATAGAATTGTATAAAAGTAACATTTTCTTTCCTAGTTAAGTCATATAAGAAAAAATTCTGTCACTGAATTAATGAGAGCCAAATCAGATGAATGCAATAAAGAGAAATAATAAATCATCTTTAACTGACCTGGAGATGTCACACCTTCAAAGTGCTCAGAATGTGAGAAAAATTGTATATGGATCTGAAAGTGTTTGATAGGGTTAATACTGAGAAGTCACAGACATCACCCACTACGATATCATCATATGGGCTTGGCTAGAAATGCTTGGGATCTTAGAGAAATAAGACCCAACTTCTAGGTCCTCTGAAAAGACATTGTTACATATTAATGTAACTTATAACTAGTTGCTAACATGTAATAAATATACAATAGCCTTTTCCAGTTCCACACTAAGCCAAGCAGACCCTGTAGATCTGTGGTTGATAGTGGCAAACCTACCACATGGTGTGGTGCAGACTCTGTTTAGATGCACACAGTACATAATATATCCGGTGAACTGTCATAACACTTCGTAAGGCAAGCTGCCACTTATCTGTGGAGTGTATGATTATACAGTACAAGCCTCATAGTTCATCAAGCAAAGTCACCAAACACCATGATAGCAGATTCCCTGGTAGGAGTAGCCACAAACAGGACAAGATGGGGTCAAGGCTTTTTCTTTAAAGTAAAAGAATTTCTGTTGTTGAATTAATGAGAAGTAAATTAAATGAATGCTAAAGAGACAAATAGTAAAGGAAGCTGAAAATGGGTTTGCATCCATATTTATGCTAATGCAATACAGAGGGGGTGTAAGATGAAAGCATTACATTTCTTATGAATAAACATCAGATAGACTTCTGTAATTTCTTCAGAAAGTTGCGAGCATAAAACAGATAACAAGTACTCAGACCCAACATAAACAAAAGGCTGAAAGCAGTCTTAGAAGCTCAAATTAAAGTTTTGTATCAATAAAATAAATCATCTTCCCATGGTTCACTTTGATGTTGTTTTATGAGAGAAGTTTTAACCTAACTTTTTAGATTAATTGCAAAAGTGGATTAAGTCAGCCCAGATTTGAGACTGTGGCTGAAAGGAAACTAAGACAACTTGACAAATCGGTGCAAAATTTCTTCTAAACTGAACTTTCTTTTTTGTTCATAAAATATAAATGTTACTGACAGGTCAGCAATTATTGATCTAATTGTCCACAAGATGCCTTCTTGAACCACAGTAGTCTGTGTGGTGTAGATACTCCAGCAGTTATGTAGGGAGTTCCAAATTATGGACCCAGCAACAATGAGGGTGCTGTGAAATACTTCTGAGTCAGAATGGTGTGCAACTTGATGGGAAACTTACAAACATCACAATTTACACATTCCTGCTGCTATTGTCCTTTGTGATGGTAGTGGTGTCAGATCTAAAGAGTGTTCTTGAAGAAGTTGAGAACTACAGCTGTAATTATAGTGCAACTTCAAACTGCGTATAAATTGGGCAATTCAAATCAATAATAATACAGTAGAGGATGAACTCCTGCATTTCCCATGGTTAATCCACCTAGCCTGTTCATCGCTAGAGATTATTTAGCAATTTATAGAGGCAATTTAGCACAGCCAATCCACCTAACCTGCACATCTTTGGACTGTGGGAGGAAACCGAGCACCCAGAGGAAACCCATGCAGACATGGGGAGAATGTGCAAACTTCACGCAGACAGTTGGCCGAGGTTGGAATGGAAGTTCAGTCCCTGGTGCTGTGAGGCAGCAGTGATAACCACTGAGCCACCATACTGCCCAGTAGTAGGGAAAATGTTAAGAGTCCATTATGAAAGATTTAATAGCAGAACTTTGGAAAATAATGACAGGACTGAACAGAGTCAGCATGGACTTAAAACGGGAAATCATGCTTGACAAATCTATTGAAAATTTTCAAGGATATAACGAGTAGAATTTGTTGGGGAAACCAGTGGATGTGGTTTACTTGGAATTTCAGAAGGCATTTGATAAGGTCTCATTTGAGATTATCGTGTAAAATTAAAGTGTTTGGAATTAGGGGAAGTGTACTGACAGAGATAGCAGAACTGGTCAGCAAACAGAAACCAAAGAGTAGGAATAAATGGGTAATTATTTGAGCGGCAGCCAGTGACTGGTGGGGTACTGCAGGGATCAGTTAATGGACCTCAGCTATTTATAATAAATATCAATGATTTAGCTGAGGAAACTAAATGTTATATGTCCAAGTTTGCAGATGACATGAAGCTGGGAAGGACGGTGATCTGTGAGTATGGTGCAGAGATGCTTCAGTGTGATTTGGACAAGTTGAATGAGTAGGCAAACGTATGACAGATGAAGTGTAGTGTGGATAAATGAGTGGTTGTCCACTTTGGTAGCAAAAATAGAAAGGCAAATTAGTATCTGACTGGAGGCAGATTAGAAACGGGGAGATGCAATGAGATCAAAATCTTGTTGTACACCTTGTGCTGGAAGTAAACACGCAAGTACAGCACATGGTGAAAGTGGCAAATGGTATGTTGGCCATCATAGCGAGAGGGTCTAAGTACAGGAGCAGGGATGTCTTGCTGCAACTGTACAGGGCTTTGGTAAGACCACAAGTGGAATACTGAGTGCAGTTTTGGTCTCCTTATCTGAGGAAAGATGTTCTGACTATGAAGAGAGTTCTATGAAATTCTAACAGGAGTAGAGAGGGTAATTGCAAAAAAATGGTATTCTCAATGACCTGGGGAGTTTGGAACTGGGACCACAGTCTAAGGATACGGAGTAGGCCATTTAGGACTGACATAAGGGGAAATTTCTTCACCCAGAGAGCTCTGGAAGTCTCTGCCAAAGCAGTTGAAGCCAAAACATTGGAAATGCTTTTGAAATGTAACCAACATTGCAACATAGGCAAATCTCCAGCTCCTTTGACTATATCACCAGTTGGATGGATGAGCTTGTGGAATTACCCTTCAGAGTACAACATTGTCTTGAGTTCTGGTGAGCAGAGGTCAAATGATTTTTAATCAATGCTATTCTTTACATTGCTGGCAGAATATCTTATCAATTCATGTTACTGTTATCTAGAATCCTAAAATTAAACTCTGGACATACCTAAAGAAATTACAATTCATTTCGGTCTTTAACTTTGGGTATTATGGCTTGAGAATTCGACACCAAATCATCTTATGAATGTTACATTCCCCTCACTATAACTTTATATCTCACCTGGAGCTCAAGCTGCAGATCACAAACTCCTGCAAGATAAAATCTTTAATTAAATTGTACTTGTCCTTTCTGAGCAGTCTAACAACCAGCTCAATATTTGCTTTATAAAGTTCAATCAATCAATCCAACATACCGAAATCAGCCTCTGAAAGGTTCAGCAGCTCTTTAAATCTCTTGGCAATCTTCTGGCGTTTCCTGTGTTTCTGAATGATTCTTTGTTTTATCAACCTTACTATCTTCAGCCTATGGCAGTAAGAAATAAATGTCTTAGTGTAGCCTCTGTTAAGCATTAATGATAGCCTAATTCCTACTGCAATTGAGAGAGGGAGGTGCACGAGGCAGGACAAACGGGGAAAGGAAGGAGTAGGTGGGGAGAGAGGGATTCCTGTCCTCACTCTGTCATCCTCACTCACCCTCCACTCCACTGTCTTCACAGCCAACTTTCCTTCTCTCCCCTGCTGAACTCCGTTTCAAGAGCGTGCTTCTTTTTTGCACACATGCAGTTCCTTTGTGTATTACATCATTGGAATTTCATGTAACGGCGCAGCATTTTCATATTAGCATGCATGCACAGTTGTAAGAAATGCTGGGTATCAGCAGACACTGCCTAAACAAATCAGTCTCCACCAACATTATCACTTTTATCAAGAAAAAACTGAAACCAGGGCATTAAGTTAGCATGAAGAAATTTGCTTCTCTTATTTAATTCATACATGTGTACTAATTTTACAAATGGGGAGTCAAAAGACTCATCTCTCAGTTGCATAGCTTGGAAACACAATGAATCTAAACTTGGAATACATACTGTTGCTCAAAAGTAGTTGTTAAAATATCGAGCAGAATAGAAAGAAAGACGAACAGAAATTGCTGGAGAAACTTAGCAGATCTGGCAGTATCTGTGGACAGAAAGCAAAGTTAGCATTTCAAGTCCAGGGACCTTTCTTTAGGACTGGTCACTAGACTGTAAACATTAATTCTGCTTTCTCTCCATTGATGCTGCTAGACCTGCTGAGTTTCACCAGAAATTTCTGTTTCTGCTTCAGATCTTCAGCATCTACAGTTCTTTGGTTTTATTTATAGCAAGATAATTTTATGACAGACTTGGAACTCTGCCTCTTCCTCCCATCATTTCATAATACAGGGCTGGTGATAAGGAATATTTGGAAAACAACCATTCATCAAGAATTCAAAAATATTTACAGGTTCTACAACTGCTGAGGATACAAGTTAACCAGTAAACAATTGTTGTCTCTGGTTAAATATTTAAAATCTCAAGAACTGTTTAACTACATAACCTTCATTTTCCCTATCTGAACCAGATACACAGTTTAAAAAACTTATTTCATGTCAATATGTATTTGATGTCATTTTTTTTAAAGTCAGCGTTAGTGGATACTAAAATTCCTCTCTTCCATTCAAGAAAATCTTGATAATCAGCTCCTTCATTTTCTAGAAAACTGCATAGATGTTAAGTGTAATACCTGCATACTAAAAAGAAATAAAAATATTTGTCTCAATGATTAAAGATCTTAAAAAGAGGATAATTGATTTCTCCCTCCTTATCTGGTCATGACAGTACCCTTTGGCTCTTTTGCCGATTATCTTAAATCTGTGTCCCCCTCATCAGTGTCCTGCCCTGCAACAGAAACAATTTCTCCTTATTTACTTCTGTCAGGGCACTTCATAATTTTGAACATCTACATTAAAACTCCCCTAGTGTTGAAATACTTTATTTTTTCTATACTTGTATCTTCTATTGACATGATGTCTAAAGGAGGCAGCTACACAGTGAATAGAAAATGAAACCCAGGCCAATAAGAAGACTGTCAGAAAGCTGCAAAATTAGAGATCAGAAATGCTAAGAGTAGCGTAAGAAGGAAGCATGAAAATATTGCAATCAAAAGCCTCCATAAATATTTCAGTAAAAAGGGAATAGTATAACTCTGCGGGTTAGAGCAGATATGAGATGAAGGAATCAAGTCTACAGTAGGGCAACAATGGGGGAGATATTAAATAATGACCTAGACTTTTCTCTCAGCAGTGAGTAAACAGCTTTCACCTTTCCCCTTGCGTACAGCTGCTCAGCGATTGTCAATATTTACCCTAATCTGCTACCATCCATTTCAAGGAAAATCAACAGCAACACTATTCAAACAGTTAGACAGAAGAATCTTCACAGACATGCAGAACAAATCAGTAAATAAAAAGCTGAAAATGTAAATTATATTTAAATTATGTACACCAAGACATACAGATGGGGTGAAGGGACAGAGTTAAAATCAGTAGACAGAATAAGCAAAGAAGATATTTGATTTTTGTTTTTTTCTTTAAATTTGCAAAAATAATTTTCTTGAGGGGATGAGATTCAATGTTACTAAAAAAATGTTCAAGGCAAAAAAAATGGTAAATTACACTTATTGTGCATTGGAAACTCATGAATTCCTGAATACTAGCCCTAACTTTTTCAGTCCATATTTGCGTTGAAATAATAGGTAAGTGGCCTATGATCATACCATTACAGTGCTTTCAGTGCTGAATGAACTGGAAAAGATTGCAAGAGAATTTTCTGTGAATGAGCAGTACATTTGAACACATGAATGAGGATCAGGAGTAGACAATTCAGCCATTGAGTCTTCTCTGCCATTCAATAACAGCATGGCAGATCTGATTGTAAACTTAAATCTTCATTACCATCTATACTAATAGTTTTTCACCTACCCGCTTAACAAGGCTCTATCCACCTGTATTAAAAATATTCAAGGATTTTGCTTCGACCTCCTTTTCAGAGGAGAGTTCTAAAGAGTTATGACCCTCAGAGAAACAATTTCACCTCATCTCAGTTTTAAAGGCAACCTTGATTTTTAATGCCCAATTCTCCTAAAACAGGTAATAGTCTCTCTCCATGTACCCTACCAAGACTTAAGTTTCAATCGAGCTGCTTTTTACTACTCTAAACTCTAGTATCAGTTTGGCGCATCCAACTTTTTCCCATAAAACATAATATGTATTAATCCAGTAAAACTTCTCTGACCTGCTATCAATGCATTTACATTCTTCCCTAAATAAGGTGGCCGATACTATGCACTATACAATACAATATTATACTTATAGTCCAGACAGATGTGTCCTGTAAACTGAAGCACAATCTTCCTAATTTTGTATTGAAATCCCCTCAATAAAGAATAACATCTTATTAGTTTTCCTAATTACTTGCAGTATCTGCATACTAATCTTTTGCAATAGATGCAACAGGACACCCAGGATCCTTCTACAATCTCTCACCATTTGGATAATATACTTTCTTATTCTTGCCAAAATTGATAATTTCACATTTTTCCCACATTATGCTCCATTTGGCAGATCTATGCCCACTCATCTAACCTATCAATATCCCTCTGTTGCAACCTTGCACCTGCTTCCCAACTTACTTTCCTACTTTCTTTGTATCATCAGTAAATTTGCCAACCATACTTCCGTCCCTTCGTTTAAATTATTTTGTATAAATTGTAAAAAGTTGAGGACTGAGCACTGACCCCTGTGGTACACAACTCATGACATGCTGACAGACTAAAAAAGACTCACTTATTCCTATTTTCCACCTCCTGTTAGCCAGTCACTAATCTATCTGTGCTAATATGTCACCTCGTACACCACCAGCTCTTATTAACTGCAATAACATTTGAAGTGGCACTTTCTGGAAATCTAAGACAGTACAATCCAAATTTCCCCTTTATTCATGTTACTTTCTTAAAGAACTCCAATATATTGGTCATTCACGATTTCTCTGTCACAAAACCTCAAAATTGAGCGCTGCCTGATTACCTTGAACTTATTCAACTGCCCTACTTTAACTTCTTTAATAATAACATTTAACATTTTTGTTATGATATATGTGAAGCTAACTGGCTTGTAGTTATTGAGTCATAGATTCAGAGTTATACAGCATGGAAACAGACTCTTCAGTCCAACTTATCCACACAGACCAGACATCCTGAATTAATAAGTTCTCATTTTCCAGTATTTAGCCCATATCCCTCTAAACCCGTCCTATTCGTGTACCTATCCAGATGACTTCTAAATATTGCAACTGTACCTGCCTTCACCATCTCCTCTGGCAGCTCATTCCATACACACACTAACCTCTGCATGAAGAAGTTATCCTCAGGTCCCTTTTAAATTTTTCCCCTCTCATCTTAATCCTACGACCTTTATTTTTAGACTCCCCTACCCTGGGGAAAAAGACCTTGGCTATTCACCCTATCCATACCTCTCATGATTTAATAAACCTCTATAAAAAGGTCACCCCTCAGCTTCCAATGCTCCAGGAAAAAAAGACCCAACCTATTCAGCATCTCCCTATAGCTCAAACCTTCCAATCTCAGTAGCATTCTTGTAAATCTTTTCTGCACACTTTCAAGTTTAGCAACATCTGTCCTCCAGCAGGGAGACCAGAATTGAATATAGATTGTAGAAGTGTCCTGCACAGCCACAACATGACGTCTCAACTCCTATACGCATTGCACTGACCAATGAAGACAGGTGTGCCAAACTCTTCCTTCACCACCCTGTCTACCTGTGTTCTTTCCTTTCGGAATGCAGGAGCTGCATTTGCTGCCTCCGATCTTTCCCAAATCAAGGGAGTGTTACTATCTCACTAGCCACATCTTTTAGGATGCTGAGATGAGCAAATGACAAGCACATGTCAACGCGCAGGTCCTTCAATTTATTACATACGCTTGTCTAGTGATTGTGATTTTCCTGAGTTCCTCCATCCCTTCCATTTCCTGATGTATTGCTGCCTCTGGGATGTTACTCACATCCTCTGTAATGAAGACATGAAGTAAAATGGAAAATATCATTTATCTGTCATTTCCTTATTTTTCATTATTGACTGTCCAGTCTCACTTTCTATAGGACCAATACTCACTCTGTCAACTCTTACTACCTGTCCTGACATTTCTAGCTAGCTTTCTCCCTGAAGTCCAGAAGGTGCTGCCAGTGTACCCAACAACATTGGAGAGTGTTAATAGTATTGCAGTTATTAATACAGTAAAATTTAGGCCTATGCCTTGTCCTTATTTTTCACAGAGGAGATTGATGTTGATATCATAGACCTACAAGAACAATTAAGTAATTACTGCAAAAGGAATATAAAGGTATGAAGACCAAGCAGAAATTAAATGAAGTTGATGTGGGGGGAATAAAATCACTGTGGTCACAATGGTACAGCAACAAGAGCCAAGTAGTTTGTAACATTCCATCATTCTTGATTAACAAGAAAATTAGAACCTAAGATAAATAATTCAAGACATGCATTTCTACGTAGGCCTTTTCTGGTGATTTCTATCGATTGAATTTCTGTAGCAAACCTCTGCATTGTTCATTACAACTTTGGCAGAAAATAAGCAAAAATTCAAAAGATGGGGCAGGGAAAGTCGAGGAGAGTGATTGTCAGAAAAAAACATTCCCTTCACCCTCTGGAATGTTCAATTCTGTTGTGCTGAGCAAAAAGAAGAATGTTAAATTTGGGACATTGGACAATTTGCCACAGGAATGAGCTGTGGCTTAGTTGATAGAAATTTCACCTCAAAGTCAGAAGGTAATGAATTTAAGTCCCAGACTCAAGACAAAAAAAAACACTCTGGTATTCCGGTTCAGTACTGAAAGGGTACTGCACTGTTGGAGACTTTGACCTTCACACAGGATATTAAACTGAGGCTCTGTCCACTTTGCCATGGGGATTTAAACAATCCCATGGCACGACTTCAAACAATATCTTTGTTGCTCAGTCAACATCACAAGATCAGATGATCTTGTCATCATCATGTTACTGGTTTTGGTCCTTGCTGTGTAAAAACGATAGCAGTGATTATATTTCAAAAATATTTAATAAACTATAAATTGGCTATGTTGACTAGTAGTTGTGAAAATCTCTTCATAAATGCAAGGAATAATGTCCATTTATTTTTGGCACCCACCACAGCCTGAAAAATTCCCAGGCCAGTGACAACATAATCAGCCACAGATAAAAGGTGCTTCAAGGATGCTGCAAAATTTAGTTTATGTAAGGAGCACATTATTAAATAAATTGCCCAAGATTACTGTAAAGTTTGCTGTTTTGTGCTGGCAGGTTGACCTGTTATGAATAGAATATTAAAATTAACAGGCAGGAGTAACATATGTGACTAACCCATATTATTCACATCATTTAGCAAAGTAACTTTAAACCTACCAAGAACAGTGGACATGTATTCATTGTTTTAGCATTGCTGGTACCTTCGGATTTTTCTGCCCATTTGTCAAAAACAAGCTTCATTTCCCTTTCAATTTCCTGCAGGAACAAACAGCAATCAAAAGTGTTAGATTGCCCTTTGTGATATATAGCTTAGCAATGCTTCCTATCATTGTAATGTGCTGATATGGAGCAATTTTCCAACTACAAGGATTTGAAAATTATCAGAGTATAACTGATGCAAGATCAAATTCAATGAATTTACTGGAGACAGAATTCTGCTTTTTACAGATCAGTACTTGGTCAGATTGGGCAAGTTGGTGCCAGCACAGTTAATTACTCTTCAGACCGCTTCAGTTAAAAAAGGGGTTAATTATTCATGAGCTGCAGATGTGTAAAACTGGCATAGTGAACCAGCCACTAATTATGGAAAAATACAATGTCTCATTGCCGTCATTAAGCTGAAGGGCAAGCCCACCCGTATTAATACCATTCCTAAATAGTTGAACAAATAAGTTCCCTTTAACCTTAGGTGAGAGTGCAGTGTCTATAAAGTTACTCATGATTAGTGTGTATGCCGTGACTCTATTCCTGACATCTCTGCCATGCTGGCTATGTTGCTGCCTCTGTGATTTTGCCTGTAGTGGCTGAGTCCTCTGATTCTGGCTTTGGTGAATATGTTCTCTAATTGTGTGCTGTTTAAAATTCTGTCCTGAGCTGGCATATTGTCCATGATTCTGCGGTACAGTTTTAATTTGGGCCTGAAGTAATGCCATTGATCAGTGATGGTAGATGAATACAAAGCAAACACATGTCTCAATCAAAAACTGAAAGAACTGCAGATGCTGTAAATCAGGAACAAAAACAAAAGTTGCTGGAAAAGCTCAGGTCTGGCAGCATTTGTGAAGAAAAAAAATCAGTTAGTGTTTTGGGTCTGGTGACCCTTTCTCAGAACAGTTAACTCCGATTTTTTTCTTCACAGATGCTGCCATATGTCTCAAACACCAAGGCAGGCAAATATGGGGACTCTGAAGTCCAGGATCCAAGAAGTAATCATGACTGGAAAAAGGAAGCCATTAACTGTCTAGATAACAATTAACCGACCCCTCTCAACTACCAAACACCTGCATCAGTGCCCCAACACTCCTGGACCCAATACACACTGCCACAGCACCAACCTTCTCTACTGAATCTGACACCTGCTGTCATCCCAGTGACCAACACCCACTCCTCCAACCCACGGAACCCAGCAAATCCTCAGACTTTATACCATCCCCACCCTCTCTCTCTCTCTCTGGGGCCTAACACTATCTTCCCACCAAACTTGACACCCCCTTCTCTCAGCACAGTTAACACCCTTCCTCCTCTTTTGCAAGACACACTTTCAGCCCCTCACCTACACCCCACTACCAAACACAGCTGGGCCCAATTCCCCTTATCCCGACCTATCTTAAACACTCCCTGGCGCACATCCCACCTTGTGTTGTGGCACCCAAACCTCATACTTACCTAACATGCTTACTCTTGACCAGCAGCTGGCAAAGTAGCTGATTCTGCTGCTAGGCATTTTTTTTTTAAATCACAGAATTTGGCAATTACTGCCTTGAGAAAGGAGGCATGACTTGCCTTCTGCTGACTATCCTGCACAACCAGAACACATTTAAGCTGCACAGCACATTTCTACAGGATTCATGATCAAAATTTCCTGTTAAAAGATGTGGAGCTCTTTATTAACATTGAAGAAAAGGAGCACAGTGGCAATCTGGCTGATACAGTTTATGAGAAAAGAATATCACGTGCCACAAGATGCGTTCTGAAACACCATAGGAAAAATCAATTCCACTAAGTTAATTTAGTTAGTTAGTAACAGGACTTGTGTCCCTCAATGGGAAGGAATACCACCTTCTGGAACCATCAGCCAATTTGATTCACCGGTAGCTCCAGTAGTCTTCATGATGGGTGCTGCCCTGGCTGGAAGAAAGCCCAATGGATCTCTGGACTTAAGTAAGTAAGGGGCATGGGACAGGGAGGATTTGAGAAGAAGCTGGAGGGCTAAGTGTAATCTGTTCTCGGAGGGCTCCCTCTGGTGCACAAAGGGCACTTTCCAAAGACAGTCATCACCCCATCCCTGCCCACTTATTTAAAATCTTGTTAAAATAAACCAGGCTGCCTAATCCTGCCCATGTCAACCATGATGGGATGGATAGGGAATATTGGAGTGAATTGCACTTTTAACAGCCTCAACTAACTCTTGTTTATTTACTGACATCTGGTAGGCAAGTTGCTGATTTCAGCACTGTCCATCCTCTGTACTATGGAATGGGTGGGAATGTAGTGGTTTGGCACCCTTAGTACTTTTCATGCCAGTGTCAAAAGCACACCCAGCAGGTGTGTTGTATTTAGTCCCAGGTCCCAGTCCCGATTTTGGGCTGCTCCAGGTTACAGCAATTTCTGTTTTTGTTACCAATTCTGTGCATTTACACCGGAGTTTCCAGTTAATAGTTCACAAGTTCCTTGATTATTCATGAGACACTGTTCTAAATGCACAAAATATTGAACCTACCTTTTACCACCGGAAAAAAATAAATATATCTAGTAGTGCAAATGTTGGAAACCGAATGAAACATGTCAGTAAGTCAGAATTTGAACTAAGACAGTGCCAGTTTTAAAGTAGCTGTTGATAATGCATTCACCGGAGTCAGTGACTGAAAGTGCCTTCATCAGGCACGAAATTAAACTACATTCATAAATAATTGAGAGCAGTGCCACATAATGGCATTATATACATACAACATACATAATTATGGAGATTACTCTCATAAGAAGCAGAATAAAGAAGAATATTCAACAATGCAAAGTACACTAAGCAGGAACAAGCTAAGAAAGCAGGGAGTATGATCAGAGACAACACAAGCACTAGCAGCAAATCTATGAACAGTAATTACTATCTGGATGCTGAATCATTAAAAATATATACTTTTATGCAGTATTAGAGCATCTGAGATCAGTCACCTGATTTGCAGGCTCCACTTGTGAAGCTTTTCTAAGAAATTTGATAGAGAGGAAATACTTCTCTTGCAGTTCAAGCACCTGAAACAATTGGAATAACAATTTATACAATTATTGTACCAGCAGTGTTTCAAAAGAAATTCAATACGGAAATATTTAATCAATAACTAATCAGATCTGTAGAACTAATTTAATATCAAGAACAGGCCTACCTTGCCCTTCCTGAATAAAGCTTTGCAATGCTGAGGCTGATGCTGCAAAACCATGTCGCAGTAGGAAAATGCATCCTCTAAGTTTCCAATGTTCAGGTGGCAAGCTGCAATATTACTGTAACATTTCACTTTCTCATCAAGAAAACTTTTCTCATCTTCATAGTCGAGGACATCTGAAACAGTAATGCAGTCATATGTGACTGTCAGCAGAGCGTGTTGGGCCATAGTCAGCAATCATATCAGGACTAAATCCTATTACAGAACCCGACATTGAAAATCTAGTTACATTAACTTGAACAGGACGTCCATGTCCAATCATCTTTGCGAATCTCCTGACCAGACAGAGCGCGCGAGAAACAGCGCGTGCCCGTGGTAGAGCGCGTGCGAAAATGTAAGTATAAGAGTGGGTGTGTTTATGTTGTATCTTTGTGCGCGCGCGTGTGCAGGGGACAGAACTGTTCCGGACAGGAGCCGATTACTCTGTGTGTGTGTGTCATTGTAGTAAATATCCATATTGTTACTATCGACAGTGATTGCAGTAGTATGGCTACCGTGGATTAACCGCCTTAGAATAAAGCTGGCTGTAACCTGCGGACACTGTGCAAAATATAATTCACATTCCTTTCGACTTGACCATCAAAATCCACAAGTAAGATGTAAACCTTGCCTATTGATTTTTTCACTTGTGGTCGTTAAATGATGACTATACTTTTGCTGTTTGATCATAGCAAACTTTAAGGATTGTCTGGATCACAAATTAAGTTTTGGAACAAGTTCACTGTAACATTCCAGAATTCAATTAAATAAATGTTCATATTTAATTTTGCTGTATTAATTGTGTAATCAATGCGTATTGCTGAAGATCAAACATTTGTTGAGAATGATTTGACTCTCTTAGGACACAGCAACAGTAGAGGAAAAATTGATTTGATTGTTTTAGCAGAGCATAACTAGCGTAAATCCAGGATCTAAAATAAAAGCAGAATTTTTTCAATAATATTCTGTTTCTCGTGAACAACCAAAAGAAATAGTTCAAGTAGATCTAATCAGAATTGCACTGCAAAATCTTGAAATGGAGCATCAGTTCAAAGTATGCAAATTTGAACTGGCGATGAAAAGAGATACCAACAGTGAAAATTCCTCTTGGTTTTGATTTAGTGAAGAATGTCTGGGGGGGCGGTAGAAACCTGCTTTCTCATTTAAGCAAATGCTGAGAGTTTGAATTGCCCTGAAAAGTATTGGACTATGCTCTTACCGAGTGACTTCCTAGAAGCGCTATCACGTGACTATGCTACAGTAAAAGCAGCTATTCTAAATGTGAGATAACAAGGTGTAGAGCTGGATGAACACAGCAGGCCAAGCAGCATCAGAGGAGCAGGAAAGCTGACTTTTCGGGTCTCGACCCTTCTAAATGTGAACGGTTTGAAACCAGCGGGTTACAGACAGAAATTCAGAAATTTGAAAAAAAACAGGACCAGACCTCTGTGAAATTTGCTAGTGAAGGAAGTGATGTTGGAATAGTGGTATAGATTGATGAAGTTTGAACAAAAATTTAAAAAATTCTAAAATAATGCCCCTTTGGAAATGAAATCCCACTGGCAGGGCACAAAGTTTGAGAGATAAAGAAAGCTGCAGTGGTGTTAATGATTGTGAATTGATGGACAAGATGTTAATATAGCAAGTCATTAAGGAAGGACTGGTAATGACTTAATTAATTTATATCTAAATATGTAAAAGATGGAAGGGGGGCAAATCAAGGGATAATGTGGAGTGGTATTGTCCCTGCTTGTGGTCCAAAAGGTTCAGATAAGTCCTCCCTGCCCTGGAGATATGATGTAGCATACCTGAACAATTTCATCCATTACAGTTAAAATGGGGAACATGTGCCTTTGGGAGAGAGTTGGATTGGTATTGAGTTAGTAAACTCCCTACACAAAGACAGTCTATGTCTCTTAGTTGGAAACTGTTAACAATAGTTGTAGAGAACAGTTGCTTAAAAAGGTGGATATTGGAAATTAAGATTTCATTCAGACATAAGATCATAATTCATGTTATTTTGGTGATAAATGGCTGAAACCAATTGTGAACTGGCAGGATATGATTTCCAACTGATGTTCTGTAAAGCTAAACTTTATGATTTATGGAATTTAAAAGACAATATGCAAGTTTGCAAAAAGATTTACTTGGAGATACCTAATTCAGTGTCTGTCTTTATATTGTTGGATTGCGCTCAAATGTCAATCATTGATGGACACATGGCATAAACTGAAACTAAATTTTCAGAAAGAAATGTGCATTCAAAACAGATGTCAGAAGCCTTAAAACAATACCTCGGAAGTCATTCATTCCCAGGAGCCTTCACGGTTCAAAGTTACTCAGCATTAAGGCAAGAAAAGGAATTAAAAGTTAAACACATTCCAGATTGTCCAGTTGTGGCTTCTAAGCATCAAAATGAAAGAATTATAACAAGTAAGATCAAGTTTAGTGTCACTTTTGCAGCTATGATGGACAGAAATTGGGAGCTAGAACAGAAGAATGAACTCCACGAATCCCTGGGGTTTGGTCAATACATGTTTCAAGTGGGATTCTAAATATTAGTATGCAATGAATTGTCCTAAACAGAATAACAATGTTTTTGAAATGCTGCATGACAAGATGAAGAGACTATCAGGCAGAAGGAACTGTTCCAGTTACAAGAAGCTTTAGTCCAGTAACAAACGTAGTTATATTCACAGTCATTTCAGTTGTGCTGTGTTGGACATGTAAGTCAACAGTGTGTGGAATAGATCAGTTAAAACATTACTTTGATTCTTTAAAAATCAAGATGGAAGTAAGGTCAAGGAGTTTGAGGGTTTTACTTGCTTCAGGTTTGGGAATGACCAAATACTGATATCACTAACAGTTATACTCCATGTAAAATAGCTGCAATAAACAACTTTAATTACACAGATACTGTATCAAATGAAATACCCTTATCGTTGAGCAGGCTGTAAATGTAAAAGGCTTAAATAAAAGTGGTATGGAACGCAACTAGTCTGCTGTTTCTGGGAAGTCAGTGGATTTAGTTTACATAATCTGGATATCATTATATCTCTCTAACAAGACCTAACTTCTCTAACTAAAATATATTAAAGTGGTATAAGTGGCATAGTTCTGAGGAAGGGTGATTGGACCTGAAATGTTAACTCTGATTTCTCTCCACAGATGCATTCACAGTTGTTTTTGTTTTCATCTCTCTGACAATTTTGGGTCAGAGTGGGGGAAGGAAGTTGTCAATGCTGAATTTAAAGTGATGTGTGAAAAAAAATGAAAAATGTGTGGATACAACAATATAAAGTCTCTTTAGTAATGGTGTTTCTGAAAGAAATCATGCACAAAACATTAAATGTTTCATAAAATCTTTGTGAACCAATCTAGTTGTAAACTAATATATGCCGTGGCATGACGATTCATGTAAAGATCTCTCAGCAAATGTTGACACAACAGTCCGTAGCAATTTTTTGAGAAAAGTAGGGAATTCCTTTGGGAACGAGTGATCATTTCCCCAGTTTGGGAAGGGACTACAGTTAAGCTCCACTTTTTCTGAACACTTGAATGCCATGTATGCAGGCAGAAGACCATTTGTTAAAGCAGGAATTTTACTGAAAATTCAACAAACTTTATGGCGTCATATAAAATTAAATACCAATCCGGGGATGGTATACTATAAAAGAGACTGCTAAATTAAAATATAAAAATATGGTGAAATCTTATTTGTCAACTTTTTGATGTGGTTGTTTTGCAATTTCCATTCTTTTGATTCCAGTGGCAATTCTAACAGCTTTTGCGTAGGAAGGGAGGGACAGGCTGAATATCGATTGCATGCGATTGTGGAGAGGTGGGCAGGGATGGTCAGGAAAGGCTTCACAAATTTTCTGTCTCCAAACAATATGGAGAACATGGCCAAAACCTCAAAGGATTGTAACAGCCACATGTAATATTATATGCCTGCCCAGAAGTACGTAATTTTCCTCAATTTACCTGAGCTAGGTGAGGAGCTGCATTGCTCCATATTCAGATAAGTTTCTTGTGAATTAAATGTATTTTATTTTAAAGATGCATTGTATGTAGAAGAATCCATAGCGCAACCACAGACACTGAGATCATGAATATTGTTTTATGCCATTTGAAATCCCGAAAGGGAATAATGTCAAGAGAACCTTGACATGATATTGCTATTGATCAGTAATTCTGAGTATAACATCACCAATATCCTCAGCTTCATGGCTAAGATCCACTGAGCTGCTGCAGCGGTGTGGATCTGGAGGAGCACAGCAGGCCAGGTAGCATCAGAGGAGCAGGAAGGTTGACGTTTCTTCAGAAAGGAGAACACAGGCTCATTTTGTGTAGGTATTAAAAGTATATTATTCATCTCCTCCTTAAGCTTTGGAAGTTCCAAATGTCAGCCAGCTACAATAGGTAATGCAACCCACTTTCCAATGTAGCTCAGAAAGGTGCTACATTGCATCATTGCAGAAATATTATATTCCTTCCAAAAACTTCTCAGTTCTCTATGTGGTACTGTTAGATTAAAAGCAAGGTTTGAGTTACAGAATCTTGGAAGGATTTCATCGCTCTCTAAGTAGCATGTAGATCAATAATAACAATTACAAAGCACCTCTAAGATAATAAGACTATCAGATGCCTGCACTGGAAGACCTATTTAAAACTAAAAGCAAGGAAGAGAGAGAGTAGGAAGGGTGACAAGTTAAGTTGAAGAAATTGGATTGAAAGAGATTTCCAGAGTTTAGGGAGAGGGGTACATGGGAAAAGAGATTTAGGGAATGAATTCAAAGGAGTAACATCAACATGGCTGAATGCTATGCCATCAGTTGTGGGTAGAAGAGAGATATTGGAATGCACAGGTTAACAAAGATATGGATAAGCACAGGATTTTGAATTTGGCACACCAATATCAGGGAAGGATGGTGTTAATAGTCCTTGAGATGTTTCAGAAACATCGCAAATACTTTTAATCAAATGTTTGGACAAGTAATTACACACTCTCTGGGCAGGTGGGATTTGAACCTGAACCTTCTGATCCAGGGACAGAGACATTACCATGACACCACTAGACCTACTTGTAGAGATGTTGTATGTGCAGCAAAACATTGGCCAAATTGGAATTTAGTGAGGCTGAACATAGGAGGTAAGAAGAGCATTAGCGTCACTGTGTCTGGAGATCACAAAAGCAAGTTAGATGTAGAAATAGGGCTATTGTTAACAGTAACCTATTGTATTGTATAATCATACCTTGGTGATGCTACAGTACATCTCAACTCATTTGCGCATATGAGTAACTGGGGACTGAATGTAGAAATCCACGTATGGTTGTGGATGAAAGGAAGAATTTTCAGTTATGTAGCACCATTCACGACCTCAGGGTACCACAAAATGCTTTACACCCATTTTTCAAACGACATCACTGTTGTAATATTTAAGTTGTGTCACCTAGGTTTGCATGCCACAAGGTCCCATAAATATTGGCCAGTTTATTTATTTGTTGATTTTGATTGAGGTATAATTTTCATGCTTCAAAATGGTGCCATAGAATGTCTTATATCCTAAAGACACTTACAACATACTGCAAGGAGATTTCTACCTAGATTTTTGTGCTCAGGGTTCCGCAGGAGACTTGAATCAATAATCTTCTGGTGTGTGGAAATCGAGGACATAAGCAATGAGGATGGTGTTTACATTGTGTGCATTCACAGCTTAGACCGTAATGCTAATGCCATTAATGTACATAATTTCTAAAGTTTCAGGTAACCATATAGATAAATTAGAGTTTTAGGAGGAAACAATTATCCTAAGAAAAGTGGTTCATTACCTTTAGCATTTGCATCTATAATTGACAAAGCACAAGTGTAGCAAATAATTGCCAGCTTATAATTCTTGGTCTGAAAATAGCGATTGCCTTTCTCTCGCTCATGCCTGATCATATTTAGCTGCTCTGCCATGGGCTTCACCTCTAGCCGAGTTCCACTGGCTGACAGGAGGTGAACCTCGAGGAGGAGTCTGGATCCTGGTTTCACTTCTGATGCTTCACTGCAAAACAATTAAAGACATGACTGCAAATGACTTCCCTGATCTGACGATAACCTGCTAGTTTGGCTGCTGAATCATATATTGTGTTTGTACTTTAGGCTATTGAAATGCCAATACTGCCACCACTCATTCATACAGGAGCAAAAACCCAGAAGAGTTTTCGACAAAGCCTTTAGATTTATAGCACAGAACAAAATAATGGAAAATATCCAAAAGACAGGACAGTTGCAAAACCATTGAGAGTAAACAGAAGGCCAGGGTTAGGGTCAGAACATTGTGTGGTACCCTGAGGTCGTGAACAGTGCTCCATAAATGAAAATTCTTCCTTTCATCCACAACAATACATGGATCTCTGTATTACCCAGTTGGTAAAGAGCCGAATGGACCAAATGACATATTCAGATCTTTCTAAATTCTTCAGTGTTAGAGATCTACAAAACACTTGGGAGATACACATAAAACAGAATACTAAAATGTTGCATTCAAGAATATAGAATTGTCTGAATTCAAATTGAAGTAACTAGCTGATTCTGGCGTATATTAAGACTTGGATAATAAGAGGCCTCGTTAGGGAAGCAGTGGAGCACGTGGTGAGTATATGGAAAGTGAAATGACAAATTAGCTGTGGTCGCATTAAATGCCACAACAGGTTTGAGAGGCTAAGTGATCTACATATGCTACTAAACACCTGTATTATGAAAAGACTGTGGCATAAAACACCTGGTTAAGTTTCTCACCTAACTATTGAGAGGAAATAGAGATAAGCAATAGCACAGTCAGAGACTTTACACAAAAAAATTTCAGTTATGTATCGTCTTTAATGTAGATGTCTTTCCATTTTGAATGGCCATTGTCTGACTTAATGATGTTTTTATGTTAAAAAACATTATGACTGGAATCTTCCACTTTTTACTCCAAGTGTAGGGATGAGGGTTTTTAAAAGATGAGCCCCTCTCCCCCGCCAGCAAGAAAGCCTGCCCCTTGAAGGAGACACTTTGACTCGTCACATTCCTGGCTAGTAGCTTCACAAAATTAAGTTGGAATCGCAGGGAAAGGGGTATGTGGGGTCAAAGCAAGGGCAGGGGCTGGTTTTCAATGGCTCCCCGAAAACTGGGGCAAATGGAGGAGGTGCTCCAAACTGCCTTCCCACAACAGTTTGTCCTGTCAGAAAGGCAGCTATTTTCCCGCTTGCTGGGAAGGCAGATTTGGGCCCTTAGGTGGTCATTAATTGAGGACTTGGTAGAATTCAGAAAGGTTGCCCATAGATTGTTTTTTTGAAATGCATTCACTCGTGGGATATGGGAGTCGCTGTCTGAACCAGTGTTTATTGCCCGTCCCTAGTGCCGTTGATAGGGTGGTGGGGAGCTGCCTTCCTGAACCACTACAGTCCATGTGCTGCAGTCCAAAGGTTAAATGAGGAGGTAGTGAGAAGGGGCGAGGTCTCTCTCCAGTGCTACCAAACCCAATTATTTGCCCTTCTTGCCCTGCTGTTTCTGGGAAGGAGAAAATCCCTCCCAAAATTTATTCTTGTAATCGGAGGATCATTGACACAGCCTGAATTTATTGTCCATCTCTATGTGCCCCGTCTAGAAGAAAAGCAGAGTTCCATAGGAACACCACCTTCAGCAAGTTCCCCTCCAAGCCGCTCATGATCCGGACTTGGAAATATATCACTGTTCCTTCACTGTTGTTGGGTTAAAAATCCAGGAATTCCCTAACAGCATTGTGGGTCTACCTACAGCACATGGACTGCAGCGGCTCAAGAAGGCAGATCATCAACACCTTCTCAAGGGCAACTAGGAATGTACAATAAATGTTGGTCCAGCCAGCAATACCCATGTCACTTTAAAAAAATACATTTAGGTATGACCTTATACAGGTTTATAAAATAGAGGGGCATAGATAAGGTGAATAGCAAAGGTCTTTCCCCTAGAGTAATGGAGTTCAAAACTAGCTGGCATATTTTTAAGTTGAGAGGAGAAAGATTTTAAAAAGGAACCTGAGGGGCAACTTTTTCACACAGAGGGTGGTTTGTATGTGGAATAAACTGCCAGAGGAAGTGGTAGATGCAGGTACAGTTACATTTAAAAGACATTTGGACAGGTACATAAAGGAAAGGTTTAGAGGGATATGGGACAACGCAGGCACGTGGGACTAGTTTAGTTTGGGAAACTTGGTCAGCACGGACGAGTTAGACTGAAGGGTCTGTTTCTGTGCTGTATCATTCTGTGAATCTATGACTAAAAACAGATTCAAAGCTTTGAGCCCATCCTAATAACATAAGAAACTTAACACTGTGTATAATTTAGATAGCTCTTCTCCATATTTTCTCCATATTCAATGAGAAAGACCAGGAAAGAAAGCACAGGATTTAGAGCATGAGGCTGTTGAAGATAAAGTTAACGAAAAGTGAGACACACATTAACAAAAGGGAGACACACCCACACACTCCTTCTTGGTCCTTAATGGAATGCCATTTACGATCGTTTGTATCACCTAGGTGCTCAGTTGCAATATGAATTAAAAAGACGAAGCAAGTCAGTCCGGACCCTGAAACTTACAGGCGGTTACAACTATCCTTTGATCTCTGCTGTTTAAAGCAGCTCCGATACTGAGATTTGCCGATCAAGAGTGGTGATCTGAAAAGAACTTGTCATTTTTAGGAACTTAACATTGAAAATGTGCTGTACAACCCAAAGAATGCTATAGGAAATCTACTATTGTTTCAAATTAAGTGTGGAAAGTAATACAAAATACAAAGAAATTAAATCTCAGGGATCAAGCTACATCCAGAAAAGTTGTTTCACCTTCTTGTTTGTGATTTGACCAGAATCTACAGCATCATGCAGACTCCAAGCCGTATGTAACTCTGTTATCCAATGAAAAAAAAGTAATGTGAATTCTTACCTGGAAGCTCGTCCAGAACAGAATTTGGAATCAGTGAGAATCAGTGCTGTTTCATGTATGTACATAAGGGGCACACAGAGCTCCAGGGCCTTGGAAAGGAAAGGGCAATAGTGTTAAAATGTCATTTTTTTTTTCCTGATAAATTACAAAAACAATACATGGAGGAATGGTTAACTGATGGAACAGTTTCCTGTAGGACACAATGAAAGCATTTGGTAATGGTTAAATTATATGCAAACCATGTAGATTTCCTTCAGAATATAACATTGTGGATTTTTATCATAAACAAGCCAAGCGTCAGTTTTGACAAATTTTATGGAGGGTTTCTCTCCACGAGGCATGATGAGTATTTTTTTTTAAACTCATGCTGTCTTCCCACATTCACCTCACAACGTATGCTCTGCGTTTTCTCCCACTCCGTGCAGGCAGACATATTCTCTAGTGCTGGGACATACAGGGATTCTCAACACCAGCACCATATTTAATAGGCAGTTGTGCACCAGGCTGGAAATGCTTTGCACAGTTAGTACTATTTGCCGCACATCAGACGGAGGTAATATGGTGCCTTGCTTTGTGGACAGGATCCTGGATGTCCTGCTGGATGGGGGAAGTACAGAGGAGGGCCATCCTGTTACCTTAAAGCTGACCGAGGAGACAATGATACCAGACTCTGCCAGCCCAGTCCGAGGTTGCCTCCCAGGTCAATGCAGTATCAAGTGTGAAAAAATGGGCAACAATTCAGAAAGAAGGTCAATGACCTCCACTGCTCCAAAAAGGCAAATGCCACCATCTTCTGTCTGCTGCTGCCTCACACTCCCACTGACTTTGCTCTGCAATTATCTCCCACAGTGGTCTACCATTCTCACTATTTCATGCAACATTTTCCCTCATGGTATCACCCAGATAATTCTCCCAGACTAACTCTAACCCTGACCCTGCATGGCCTTTGCACCACCTACTCACTCATTTGGGATACCTCAGCATCTTTGCCTCATCTGCACCAGTGCGAATAGCTATCCCATCCACTTTTATCTCGGCAGTTCCCCCTTTTGGTTCCATTCCAGTAGAAGAGAGCCCAGGGCGGTTATGGGCGGAAGGGTGCCAGACCTTCGGCTTCTCATCCCGTGAGGATTGTGGTTGAGGCCAGTGAGGGCACAGACTGCACACACACTGATTCTGAAACATACCTGTGCCAGCAACCAAGTAAGAATCATTATCCTTTGATGTGCTACTCTCCCATTACTGTGAATGTACTCTCAATGTACCCAAAATCAATGCCTTGTTCACAACATGTTCTTTCTGGTCTCCTGTAGGTACTAGTGGCATCTCCAGTGCTCTCAGATACTGGTACCTCGGTGGGTGCTTCAGCTTGATCAGAATTTGAAGCACCTGCTGGTGGGCACACCTCTGCCATGTCTCCACAAGCTGGTCATTGGCACTCAGAGGACAACTTGAGACCATGCACAGCTCCAGGCAGGAGAGGACCCCAACAATGAACTATTTCATTCAAATACACAAGTAGAAATGAACAGCTTTGTTTACAAGCGCTGGGTAAAGCAATGCTGTTTGCACCATGCTGCCTCTGGCACGTGAGTGTCTGTCTCCATGGACTAGTTAGTGCTGCCATAGAGTTTCAGGTCCATTAGAGCTCCTGGCCATTTCAACAGGGAGATGAGTGACCTCACTCTACATGCCCCTTCCTCATGAGGAGGCAGGGCAGTGCCAGGAGGCACCCAGCAGAAAGAGGAACCACTGACAAGCCTGGAAATCTCCTCTAAGGATGCTCCAGAGTTGGCTGGACCCTCCACCTCCACCCTTCCTGCTGTCCTCAGCTCTCAAGGAGTTCAAGCTGAGGAGGGTACACCTTGCCTCTGGGCAGGACGCACTCAGCAGGTCTGGGCTGTCTGGACACAAATGTCCCTGAGATTGCCTGACCAAAACCCCAAGGCTGACAGGCGGTACTGTAGAACAGGCTCCCTCTGTCCCAGCTCTGGACTTCAGGACCTTGTGGATATCAAAGTGCAGACCTCTCCCTCACAGAACGAGATGCTTACCCCACCCACCATGGGAGAAGTGGCAGCTATTTTCAGCTCCATTACACATTTTCAGCATGGTGGACGGAAACCAGGGTCATACTTGAGTGTGTCAGGCTCAGCCTCTTACTGGGTGAACCCCTAAATGGACACCTTCCCTTCTCGGTAAACCTTCCATGTCAATCCCATCCACTTTGATCTTCCCTACTTTCCCATGGCCTGTCTCCCTAACCATTCATTTGTCCCCTCAGCCCCAAGCATATCAAGCCAACATGCCATATATTTATGGTCCTGCTCTGTCCCCATGCACCCCTCCAATAAAAGCCAGGGTGATAGTGACTGTTGATGAACCCTTCTTCTTATGACCCCCCGTCTCTTCCATGCTCTATTGTCCTCCTCTCCTCCGTATTGAGTTGCCCCCTTCACTAATAGTTATCCCCTCTGCACCCTTAGATGTTGCCTCCCAGCCCCACGACAGAGATCCCCAGCTGAGGGATAATTAATAATAATATCATAATGCATTCAAATCAGCCAATTTTAGCTCACTAGCAAGAATCTCTGTTCAACTGCGGTTTGGAAAAAGGAACTTCTTGTTTTCCACTTCGTGAAGCTTCACACTGTCCATCTTTCTCACCAATGTCCACATCGTTCAGTGACTAAGAGGACTCTGTGGTATATAATGGATTTTCCAGTGGGCATTGGGACCCAAGGGATCCCAAGCCATCGCATACCTTCACCATGCCCTCTGGCATAACCTTACCATGTTGACTGACCAGACCCTTAACTGAACCATGCCCCCAACTGAATTTCCATGATTCCTTGCACTTTCACATTGGACCCCCGGGCTGATCATGGACCGCACACAAGACTGCAGAGGTTCTGACCCCCCCACCCCGCCTCCCCCACCTCCCTGAATACCCAAAGCAGCTGACTGACCTTGCCCAAGCCCCTGGGCTGATCAATATATAATCAGAAATGAGCAACGAACACCACCCTTACCACATGTCACATGTGAATGAAGAAACCTGGCTGCACTCATTTATCTGCCCAGAGATTCAGCAACGTGGCACAAGCTACAACTCCTTTGGAGATTCAGTGGCACAGTGGTAGTGTTCCTACCTCTACAGCAGAAAGGTCCAGGTTTCAATCCCATCTGCCATGGAGGCTACAAAATATGTATGCACCAGTTGATTAAAAATAAACTTCTATTGCCAGCCACTGATAGGAATGGCAAACTGTTGCATCTGATTGTCTGGCATCCCCAAGGAACAGGATTTCTGCCCAATCTTGCAACTAGAAGTACCCTATATACCTGGGAGACCCAACAACAGAGTTCATGCTGCTAATTAGAGACTTCAGTCCCTTAGGGTTCCCAAAAAGAATGGGTGGCACTTGCTTTGTTACCAGGCATTGAGTCTCCCACTGCGCTTATTAAATTCCATCAGTAACGTGATAAAGCGAGTGTACTTGATAGAATCGCTACAGTGTGGAAGCAGGCTATTTGGCCCATCAAGCCAACACCAACCTTCTGATCAGCATCCCATCCAGACCCACGCCCCTATCTTGTAAGCCTCCATTTCCCATGACTAATCCACATAACCCACACATCCCTGGACACCATGGACAATTTAGCATGGCCAATCCACCTAACCTGCACATCTTTCGACTATGGGAGGAAACCCACACAGACACAGGGAGAATATGCAAAGTCCACACAGACAAACAATCACCCAAGGGCGGAATCAAACCCGGGTCCCTAGTGCTGTGAGGCTTCAGTGCAATTTCTATACCAATCTAAGTAATCTAATACAGATCTTGTATTAATATGGGTCTGAGTTAACACAGGTATTAGTTACAGACAGCTGTGAATTATCATTGTAATTTGCAACCATGTATGTATATTATGGACAGGTAAATAAATTATAACCAAGGGTAATAATATTCAGGTGATAATCTGTCTACCTTATGAAAGCAGTACATGATTTATAGCATTGTGTAAAGGTCACATAGTGGAAGAGTTAAGGGCAGATGTGAATTAAAAGGTGCTGGAAGATGCACAGCTCTAAATTGCAGACGTTTCTATATACTATAATTCATACCTTCACGTAATAATGAAAAATGGCTGCAAATTCCATACAAGTTAAAACTATAGAGATGTGAATTATGTGCCAAAATGCTGTAAATTTTACACAGATTCCAGAGAAGAAGAGTTTCATACAATCCCTACAGTGTGGAAGCAGGCCATTTAGCCCATTGAGTCCACACCACCCCTCCCAAAAGCATCTGACCCAAACCAACCCCCCTACCCTATCCCTGTAACCCTGCATTTCCCATGGGCAGTCCACCTAACCTGCTTATCTTTGGACTGTGGGAGGAAACCCATGCAGACTGAGAGAACGTGCAAACTCCATACAGTCGCCAGAGGCTAGAATTGACCCAGGTCTCTAGAGCTGTGAGGCAGAAGTGCTAACCACTGATCCACCATGGCGCCCAATTTAGTTTAATCAATTAACCTACTATTTACAACCAAGTATTAAAGCTATACAGATAGAAGTTACCCAGTGGTATAAACCCTAACCAGTTATGGTTGGGTATTCACTGATCAGAGTGTTCGCTTTAGCATGCACATGTATAATGTACACAGCTGCAAGTTCTAATGCTGAACTGTCTGTTTGCAATGGCATGCTGATCGAATACCAGTGATATGCATTCACCCACCTTAACGACATCTGTTCCATTTATGGTGAATGACAGCCTTTGGCGGCCCAGTATGACGTCTCCATTTTCATGCATTATCTTCACCCAGATTTTCACATTCTGTCCCTTTCCAGGTCTTTCAAGTTTAACGTTGCCATATTTTAGAATTTTCTTCTTCAACAGCCCATTCCCTGCAGTGAATTATTTGCATCAGTTTATCTCAAGCAAAATCTCTACATCTGTTATGTTACTAGTAACTGCATCATTAATTGCACATACCTAGCACATCAATCCAGTCTTTTGAATTATATGCTACATCACCAGTAGCATCTTGTGTTGTGTCCATGCCCCACAGGGTGCTCATTCAAAACTCCAACAGCGGCACAGATGTGCATTCAAATATTGTTAAGTTGTCAGATTTTCGCATTCATAAATATCGAATCACAAGGTAGACAGATACTATCATGAAAAAGCCATCATAATGTGAATGGTCTGTCACAATCAGGACATAATTTACAAATAAACAGGTACTCTTTTGCTTACAATGCATCAGCACTCGATTACAAAAGCATTTCAAGACTTAAATGTCTTAATATCAAATTACTGTTTAGAACACTTTTTAAACACAGATTGTTGCATCACAGAATGTTTTCCTGTTACTATGGATACATATTCGATACAAAGGAATCAGTTAGAAGCCATTTAGAACTCAACTTTCTAAGAAATAAAGAACTTCATAATCCAAGAGGGGGCAGTAGTCCTGCAGTCTGGAACAACAACGTGTACAACAATAACAGGAAGTGACGTCAATACAGTCTAACCATGAGATACTGATATAAAAGCAAAGTTCTTTGAGTAGTAACTTGTGCTGTGGATAAAAGGGGAACCAGTGGGATGTATTGTATCTAGACTTCTAGAAGACATTGCATTAGGTACCACATCAAAGGTTCTTGTAGAAAGTAAAAGCAAATACTGTAGGAGTCAACAAATGGGGAGAAGATTGGCTGGCTAACAGGCAAAAATGTGGGGAATAAGTGGGTTTTTTTGCAGGTTGGCATGTTGTCACAAATGGTATGCCACAAATGATATGCCACAAGGGTCTGTGCTGGGGCCTCAATTCTTTATAATTTATGGAAATGATTTGGAAGAAGGGATTAAAGGTACGTAAGTTAAATTTGATGATGACAAAAAGATAGGTAGGAAAGTGAGTTGTGAAGAGGAGATAAGGAGCCTACAAAGGGACATAGATAGGTTAAGTAGGTGGGCAAAGATCTGGCAAATGGAGTATAACCATGGGAAAGTGTGAAATTGTTCATTTTGGCAGCAGTAATGAAAAACCAGCAGATTGTCTAAATGGTGGGAGGTTGCAGAGGTCTGAGATGCACAGAGATCTGGGTGACCTAGTACGAGGGAAATTATGCTTCAGTTATACAGGGCATTTGTGAGGCTGCTTCTGGAGTACTATGTATAGTACTGGTGACTGTACTTGCAGAAGGATGTTAATGCATTGTAAACAGTTCAGGGAAGTTTTACAAAAATAATACCTGAAATAAGCAGATTGCCTTATGAAGTAAGGCTAGGCAGTTTAGCCCTGTATCCTCTGGAATACTGCAAAGTCACAGGGGAGTTAATTAAAACATAAGATCCTGAGGGGACTTGACTGGGTGAATGTTGAAAGCATGTTTCTTCTTGTGTGTGAAACTAGAACTGGTGGTGATAGTTTAAAAATAAGGCGGTGGGGGTGGCCATTTAAAAAACATATTTTCTGAGAGTTGAGTGCCTTTGGAATTCCCTTCCTTAAAAGGGAGTGGATGCAGAATCTTTAAATATCTTTAAGGCAGAGGTAGATAGATTCTTGATTACCAACGCTGTGGAAACTTATCAGGGATATACAGTTGAGGTTAAAATGAGATCAGTTATGATCTTATTGAATGCCAAAGCAGGCTCAAAGTGCCAAGTGGCCTACACTTGTTCTTTGTTCATATGTTCAGAATACAATGGATGCTGGAAATCTAAAATATAAATAGAAAATGCTGCGAGAAATTCAGTAGGTCTGGGAGCACTTTTGGAGAGGGTAATAGACATGACATTTTGAGTCAGACATGACATCTTCAGAACTGACACTGATGTTGGGCAAAATGTGCAGATGCAGGTACAATTACAACATTTAAAAGTTATTTAGACAGGTACATGAATAGGAAAAGTTTAAAGGGATATGGGCCAAATTCAGGCAAGTGGGACTAGTTTAGTTTGGGAAACCTGATCGGCATGGACGAGTTGGATTGAAGGGCCTGTTTCCATGCTGTATGACTATGCATCTATGATTTAAATACCGTTCAGTTCTAATTTCTAATTAGTTTGCAACCAAGTTTAAACTACTGTATCTCTATGAAAACACAATGCAGCCTCAGTTCAGTAAAGGCCATGGGTTCAATCCCACTTCTTCTAGCACACTTCACTGTCAACGATGCCAGTCATTTGCCAGAACGTTAGAAGACAGGACAGATCTCTGGTACTGATATGAAGAGGACAGGAATAGAACAGGCAGATGTGGAATTACTCAGTGCTGGTTGGTTCGTGCCACATTCCAACTCCCTGGCCATTTTCCTGGATGACGGTTCAGACCTTCTGGTACCTCGTTATTTCACTTCAAAAATGGATAATTAAAACCATTGCTTGGTAGCGAGCTAGAATTTCCCAATGAAACTTTGGGCCACTCGTAGCACCAGGAGCAGGACAAATGCCTGGAAGTGACCACCCAGCTGCAGTCCAGGGAGAGGGCAGCTTTCCAGAATCACTTGGAGAATCCCAATACCACAATGCACCATCTCTAAGCTACAGCTGGAATCAGCTTTGTGGAGGGGCTTCTCTCCACAACAGCATTCTGGCATTTGTGGTCTTTTGTCAAGAGTGCTCAAGATGGAAATGGCCTCACATTCCCTTGCCTGGGAAACTGCAGCTCATTTAGTGCTGGAGAGCCTGCTATTAGCCTTCCAGCTTTGACAGTCAACAGTCATCCAACTAGCAGCAGGGAGTAGGAAGTTGTCATCTCACCCCTCAGTACCATTGGGAAAGCATTTCTCAGTCATTCTAACAAGGTTCCATCAACGAGCCAAGGAAATACTCAGATAGTATGGCTTCACAGCAGGCAGAGCCACAGCAGTCATGATCTAATTCAGCTTCAAGAAATGTGCACAGAGCAGCTAACCACATCATAATCTCACAAGAATAGCCAAGATGGAACAGAACAGCTCTCCTCAGGACACAATGGAAAATCAGCTGTCCTCTCAAGCTTTGCAGTCTCACACAGACTTATATTTACAGTGCAACAGCTTCACCCCTGATAGTTTGGAAAAAAAGAATGGGGTGGAAAAAGGACTGGGTCTTAACTCCTATTGCTTTGTAACTTTCTTTACCTGTACCACCAATCCACGCGTTCTTTGCCAACTTAAGAGTTATGTCCTTTAGCACTTGGCCTACATAGTCTGTAGTGATGCTGCTGAGCTACTCTTGGTGATGGACACTGAAGCCCACCAAGAGAATGTCTGCATCTACCCTCAGTGTTCCCTGTAAATGGGGTTCAACATGAAATACTGAATCATCAGCTGACAGGGGACACTCCACTCACGATCAGATAATGTATGGTAGTCTTTGGACAAATAATCAAAAGTCCCATGTAATGCTCTGGGTAATGCAGGTACAAATCCCACAATGGCAGATGGCAGAATCTGAATTCCAAAAGGAAAAACAAATAATTTGGTATAAAGTGTCCATTGTCACAAAACCCATCCAGTTCACTAATGTCCTTGGGGGAAGGCAAACTGCGATCCTTACCCCGTCTGGCCTACATGTGACTCCAAACTTACAGCAGTGTGGTTGACTCTCAACTGGAACAATGCTAGATATTTTAAATAAGCATGATCAGGGTGTCTCAAACTTCAGCAATTATGGATCTATTGGTATAATTTAGTAATTCAATTATAACTTAATAATCTAATTTGATGAGATCTTAAAATCAATAATAATTTATTTTATCTATAAATTTTAAGAGTTAAGAAGAAATGTCTTAAAAAATAAAATACACACTCTTAATATTCAGATTACTACTAATTGAAAGCTGCAGTCTTATTAAAATAGGATATATGAATACATGAATAGGAAAAAATGCATTTCCATAGAAATGGAACAAGGAGTCAGGAAAATGCCTCTACTCGTTGATTAAACATTGAAAAAAACATCATAGCATTTGCCATATGGATATCTGTAAAGCATAAATGGTGTTTATGTATGTAAATATATAATTTTCAATAGGTCCATTTAAAGATACTGAAAAACATAGCAATGTCTTGGAATTTGTGCAGTTATACATTCGCTCTCAGGAGGAGGTACATCTGAATAATCAAATAAAATACTAGTTTGTTGTTGCTGGTTCTGGCAGTGCGAGCACATTGAAGGGTTGATATCACAAAAGGCAGCATTTCATATATTCGCACTGGTGCAATTTAATTTCTCTCTGTGGTATAATTGGTACAGTAACACCACTGCACATTAAGTGACAATTGCAAAGAAAAATTCATTGTTGGGAGATGTTGTCTTGGATTCAAACTTCAAGAGTATTAGGTCAAGCTGTGTTAAGTGTGCCAGTTTTTATTTTATATAAAAGTTAGTCAATGAAGGCATTTTTAGAATGGAAATTAAGGTTGCTCAATATTTCAGACAATTGAGATTTGAAAAAAGCTGAGGAAACAACCCAAAGGCAGGAAATTGCTTGAAGGTTCTCCTGTTGTAACTACAGCAGGAATGCTGGAGAGAGACACTCAGGGTACGTTTATACACTGGTGCTTATGTGCTATTCGCAGAATATCCATAAGTGAAAGGTTACAGAAATTCCGGGAAAAGGCTTAAATCATCCAGTTTTATGAAATAGAATATTCAGCAGATCAATAGAGGGGGTATTTTGTAGAAAACCAGAAGGCAAATCAAATAGTCTTAAGGTTGTCACAAACAGAAACAATTTTAGAAATCATTTCTTCATATTTAACATTTCACAATTTAATTATATAAGAGTTGTGGATAGACTGCCATCTCCTGCATTAAATATTAACCTGTGAAACAAGTATATATTAAATTCAAAGGGGAATTTAAGATTATGGCAGGAAAGACATGTTATTTAACTAACATAAATCACTGAAACTAAATGATAGCCTCATGTGCCAAGTTTAAGGTGATTAAGACTGTCACAGTCTGTAGAGGAAACACCTCCTCACTTAGGTTGAGGTTATGTTGTGTTATGTTGAGGTTATACAGAACATTGGTGAGGCCTCTTCTGGAGTGCTGTGTCCACTT